TTGCCCAGAAGATAAAAAATTCTGGCTTAAAATACAAAAATGGCTAAAAGAAATTACACACTATAAAATAGAATTTAAACCTGAACTGTTTCTTCTGGGGATTATTAAAGAAAATTATCCTAAAAGGATAAAATATTTAATTAGTCATAGACCTACAGCAGCTAGAATCCTACTTGCGCAAGCTTGGAAAATGTCCACTATTCCAACAAGACTGTGCAATAATCCGGAAAATTTTCAAATGTGCAGAAATGGACAAACTTACTTTAGAATTAAATAATAAGGAAGACTCGGAATACTACTTAACTTGGGATAATTGGTATCAATGGATAGAAATTAAAAAATGAATGTATAGAACAAAATAAGATATAAAATGGGATTAAATATGTCGATTAAGTAGGAATATGTGGGAATAGATGAAGAAAGTTAAGAATTAAGTACTGTCAGAAAGACGTTGAATTGTATAATTATTACGGATGTAATTTTATAGAGGTATTTTAACTTGTATGTTTGGATTTTAAGTGTTAATAAAAGTTTTTTTTTAAAAAAAAATAAAAATAAAAATAAAGACCGATTATTGGCCCCGCAAGATTTTTTGGGGGGTGAAACCGTACCCCAAATTTCTCACCTGGACACAAAGATTCTCCTTGAAGGAGTTCACCTGGGGAAGAGAAAGAGAAACAAGGATTGGGAAAGAAAAGGGGAAAATTCGGAAGCCGCCGCAGCTGCTGGCGCAGAAGAGGACCCCGGGCGCCTGGCCAGGCGCCGGGACACCCGATCTCCCTCTACACCTGTTGGATTTCTCGCTCGGCCGACCGTTTGACAGGAGACGGGATGGGGTGCCAAGGCAGCCCCTCCCTGCCTGAATGCTTCTGAACCTGGGACCTTGGTCTGAGTCACACACCCGCATCCAAACCCCCCCATCTTCATTTCGGCCTCACAGCAATCCAACAGGTGAAGCGGTCTCGCTACCGCCCCTCTCCCCCACCCCCCCCCGCCTCCCCCCCAACGTCCCCCGACCTCCCTTCCTTGCCTGCCTCCAATCTGGGATTCTTCGCGCCCCCTCCCCCTTCTCCATTCTAGCAGGCTGCTTGGAATAATTCAACAGGTGAAGCTTTCTCTCCTCAAACACGTCCCCACCCCATCCCACCCCACCCCCACATCCCCCAGACCCTGCTCTGATTTCTCTGCCCAATCCAAGCCTCCCCCCACCCAATTCTGTCTGGTTGCTTGGAGCCATCCAACAGGTGAAGCTTTCTCTTCTCTTTCCTTATCACACCCCCTTCCCCATTTTAGCAGGGGCCCCTCCCTGCTTGCCTGCTGGGAGCAATTCAACAGGTGAAGCTTTCTCTTCCCTTCCCCCATCCCAACCCACCCCCTTTTCCATTTAGCAGGGGCCCCTCCCTGCCTGCCTGCTGGGAGCAATTCAACAGGTCAAGCTTTCTCTTCCCTTCCCCCATCCCAACCCACCCCCTTTTCCATTTTAGCAGGGGCCCCTCCCTGCCTGCCTGCTGGGAGCAATCCAACAGGTCAAGCTTTCTCTTCTCTTTCCCTCCCTCATCCCAACCCCTCATCCCCTTCCCCATTTTAGCAAGGGCGCTTCCCTGCCTGCCTGCCTGGGGCAATCCAACAGGTGAAGCTTTCCCTTCCCCCCCCCCCCCTTCTCTATTTTAGCAGGGGCCCCTCCCTCCCTGGGGCAATCCAACAGGTGAAGCTTTCCCTCCCCCCCACCCCTTTCTTCATTTTAGCAGGGCTCCTGCCTGCCTGGAGCAATTCAACAGGTGAAGCTTTCTCTTCCCATCCCTCATCCCAACCCCCCCCACCCCCTTCCCATTTTAGCAGGGGGCCCTCCCTGCCTGCTGGGAGCAATCCAACAGGTGAAGCTTTCCCTTCCCCCCACCCCCTTCTCTATTTTAGCAGGGGGCTCTCCCTGCGTGCTGGGAGCAATCCAACAGGTCAAGCTTTCCCTTCCCCCACCCCCTTCTCTATTTTAGCAGGGGGCTCTCCCTGCCTGCTGGGAGCAATCCAACAGGTGAAGCTTTCCCTTCCCCCCACCCCTTCTCTATTTTAGCAGGGGGCTCTCCCTGCCTGCTGGGAGCAATCCAACAGGTGAAGCTTTCCCCCCCCCCAACCCCCTTTCCCATTTTAGCAGGGGGCCCTCCCTGCCTGCTGGGAGCAATCCAACAGGTGAAGCTTTCCCTTCCCCCCACCCCTTCTCTATTTTAGCAGGGGGCTCTCCCTGCCTGCTGGGAGCAATCCAACAGGTGAAGCTTTCCCTTCCCCCCACCCCTTCTCTATTTTAGCAGGGGGCTCTCCCTGCCTGCTGGGAGCAATCCAACAGGTGAAGCTTTCTCTTCCCCCCACCCCCAGCCCCCCCAAAAAGGCCAGGAGGGGTAAAAAAGCCCCACTCAGGCAGCCTCCAGGCGGAAATCCAACAGGGCAAGCCGCTCCCACGCGGTTTGAGATCCCCCCCCCACCCAGTTTTACCTGCGCCTCGCACGCGGGGGAGATCTCCAAGGTGGCCATCGGAAGGGGTGGGGGGAGTAAACAAGCGGGTTTGCGTGCACGTCCGAAGGGCTGACCCGAGTTTGGAACTGGGGGCTGGGGGGGGAGGCTTGCAAAGGCGGCGGAGCAAACCCCGAATCCGGGGAGCGGTCTGAGCGCGAAGCGAAAACGAAAGAGAAGCGGAGCAAGGCGAGGGAAGAGAAACCGGGCAGGGCTTCTTCGCAGGAGAGGCGGGGTCGGAACGGGCGGATCGGCAGGCCGGCATCCAACCGGTGCAGCCGGACACTTACCCACCCCCTTGCAAAAAAAATAAAAAAATTTAAAAAAAGAATGCACCCGGCGGCTTTTGCATGCATGCAAAATGCACGCTGTTGCATGCATGCAAAATGCACGCTGTTGCATGCAAAATGCACGCCGTTGCATGCAAAATGCACGCCTTTGCATGCAAAATGCACGCTTTTGCATGCATGCATGGCGCCTTTCCAGGGTTTGCAACAAAAGAAAAAAAAGCAAAAAAAAAAGGGGGGGGCCCTCGGGGAGATGCCTTGGCTCTTGCAAATGCACAACCGCCTTGCGAGGTAGGCCGCCCACCCCGATGCCCACCCCGGGGGCTTTGCAAAGGCGGTGGGGGTGGCGGGGAAAGCGCTTGGGAATCACCCGGGATTTGCAAAAGAAAGGAATTGGGGGAGAGAGGGGGGGGACATGGGGGGTGGGCTTGTTAGAGACCCCCCCCGGGAAGAGAGGATGGGGGTGGGTGGGTTAGGGGGGTTTTGTTCTGCCCATTTTTTGTGCCCGGTCGGCCTCGGATTTGCACGGGAGGATGAACTCTCTCTCCCCCTGCAGAATTTCTTAAAACTCTCGGCCACTTTGGAAAGACCGGGGGACTTCAAGGCCCAGAATTCCTCCGGCAGCCTGGTCGGCTAAACTAAGCGAAGGGGATTCTGGGCGTTGAAGTCCACGGATCTTAAAAGCGGCCAAGAGTGGAGAAATACTGGATGGTAAAGGAATCAACGGACGGATGGATGGATGGATGAATAGATGTAGATAGATATAGAATAGATAGATGGTAGGTAGGAAGAAAAATGTAGGTAGATATAGAATAGATAGATGATAGGTAGGAAGGTAGATAGATAGATGATAGGTGGGTAGGTAGGCAGGTAGATATAGAATAGAATAGAATAGAATAGAATAGAATAGAATAGAATAGAATAGAATAGAATAGAATAGATAGAAAAATGTAGATATAGAATAGATAGATGGTAGGTCGGTAGGTAGGTAGGTAGATAGATAGATAGATAGATAGATAGATAGATAGATAGATAGATAGATAGATAGAAAAATATACATATAGAATACATAGATGATAGGTAGGTAGGTAGAAAAATGTAGATAGATATAGAATAGATGATAGGTAGGTAGGTAGATAGATAGATAGATAGATAGATAGATAGATAGATAGATAGATAGAAAAATGTAGATATAGAATACATAGATGATAGGTAGGTAGGTAGATAGAAAAGTGTAGATAGATAAAAAAGATAGGTAGAAAAATGTAGATATAGAATAGAGATGATAGGTAGATAGGCAGGTAGGTAGAAAAATGTAGATATAGAATAGATGGATGGTAGGTAGGTAGCTAGGTAGATAGAAAAATGTAGATAGATATAGAAAGATGATAGGTAGGTAGGTAGGTAGAGATAGACAGAAAAATGTATATAGAATAGATAGATGATAGGTAGGTAAGTAGATAGAAAATGTAGATAGATAATAGAATAGATAGATGTAGGTATTGTAGATAGATATAGAATAGATGATATGTAGATAAATGTAGAGAAATGTAGATAGATAGATATAGAATAGATGATAGGTAGGTAGGTATAGATAGAGAGGAAAAAGGAAAGGAAAAGAAAGAAAAGAAAGAAAGAAGTCTGGAGACAGACAGACCAACAGAATTATATTTCTGTCGGTCTGTCTTTGCCAAGAGAAATGAACAATATCATAAGGAAACGCAGAAAAATCTTCTTCGCCTAGACTTGTTCCCAGTGCATTTTGTCCCAACTCCTTAACCAGCTCGAAAACCAAGTTTGGAGAAAAAAAAAAAATATTCCCCACCTATCATCTTTTCTTCACCTCCTCCTCCTCCTCATCACCGCCACCGTTACCGTTATCTTCTCGCTCAAGTGTTTCTCAACCCTGGCCCCTTTAAGACCGGTGGACTTCAACTCCCAGAATTCCCCATTCCTCAAAAAAAAAAAAAAAAAAACCACATCCCACCACTTCCACTTTGGAATTCTGGGAGTTGAAGTCCGCCCATCTTAAAGCAGTCCAGGTTGAAAAAGCGTGTTTAATTACTTTACTTAATAAAATAATAATAAAAAAAAACCTTAATAATAAAAACATTGACAGACTCGGGGCTGCGTACCCCTTTTTCGTGAACTGGCCCAGCTGAGACCTCTACTTCTTCAGATCCCCCCCACCCCCAGAAACTACAAAGCGAGTTTTGGAAAGAGTCCTCTCTTTATTTGGGCCAACTGACGGAGCCCCCCGACTTTCGGCAGACGTGTTCAGTTCTGCCTCGTGGCTTCTTTCGGGGTTCCCCGGAGAAAGAGGCCGGCGCCGGGTCTCCCCGGGGAACACGGGCAGCGGTACCAGCACCGGTAGGTGAGAAACCAGCACAGGGTGGCGATGGCGGCTCCCACGACTTTGTGGCTGTAGTCGTACAGGTAAACCACCGTGCACGCCAGCAGGAAGTTCCAGAGGAGGAGGAGGAGGACGTTAAGCAGGAAAATGAGGCGCAGCGGCACTCCGGCGGGGTGACCCTGTGCCAGGTAACGCCGGAAGATGGCCGTCTCTTCCACCATCAGCAGGCAACAAAAGGTGAGCAGGAAAGTATGATCCGAGACATCGTAGCCGTGCCACTTGTGGCCTTTGTGGAGACACGTCCACTTGTCCGGTAGGCCGTTGACCAGGATCCCTTCCGGCACGGGGTCGAAGCAGTAGCCGGTTAGGTTCTCGATCAACAGGAAGGCTTCGGTGGCGCCTAGCCAGAGGCCGGCGCCCACCGCCAAGCGGGCCAGGTGACGGAAGGTGAGCAGGATCTGGTGGGTGGCCAGGTAGACGACCGGGAGGATGAAACCGCCGAGGAAAATGCAGGTCCAGCCCCAGGCAGATCGGACAAATTTTCTGGGGTGGGGAAGACAAAAAAAAAGAGTGGGGGGCAAGATGACAATGAGAGATCAGAACGGAGCCAGGATGATCGAGACGAAAACAAGCCAGGATCTGCGCAAGCTAAGATGGCCACGTTCCCCCTAGATACTTCATTCCTGGTTGCAGGTTAAGGCTCTGCGAATTTACAGGTAGTCCCGGACTTAACGATCACAATCGAGTCCCGAAATTTCCAACAACTGCAGTTAAGTAACGCCGTTGTTAAGCGAATTCGGCTTCCCCCGTGGACTTTGCTGGTCAAGACGGTCGCAAAACGGGGATCACGTGAGCCCGGGATGCGGCAACCGTCATCAATATGAATCAGTTGCCAAGCGGCTGAACTCCAGGGATGCAGCAACGGTTGTTAAGTGTGAAAAACAGTCCCGTTTTTTTTCAGTGCCGTTGTTCACTTTGAACGGTCACTAGATGAAGCGTTGTAAGTCAAGGACTACCTGTATCGATTTTTTCTTTTCATTCAATTTATGACAATGCAGCCAGGTGAAAGAATGGCGAGACTTCACACCAACCAGAGAATGGATTAACAGAAAGATAGGAATGTTGAAATCAAGGGCACCTAGTCCTCGACTTACGACGGGTCGCTTTGCGACTATTTGAAGTTTCAGGACTACTTATAATCTGGTTTGAAAATCCCGATGGCCGGCCTCTCCCGTCCCAGCAACTGATCTGCATTAACGGCCTTTTGCGGTGTCCCATATTCACCTGATTTACGATGTTTTGCTGGAAGCTGGTGGTTCCAACACAAAACACCCCATTGTGGACAATAGATTTGTTTAACGACTGCCGTAAAAGAAAAGGTGGTAAAATCAAGTCATTTCGTTGACTTGGGTGGCCATGGAAACTGAAGGAATGCATATTTTTTTTAAAAAAGTCGGGAAAGGTCATTCTGTGATCCACTTAACCGGCACGACTTACAACCGTATTTCAGGGTTCAATTACAGTCCTAAATCGAGGACTACTTGTTGTATCTGTTATACGAGACTGTTAAAGCTGGAAGAATGGACTACAGGTAGTCCTCAAGTCACGATTGAGCCCCAAATCCCTGTTGTCAAGTGAAATATTTATGCGGGTTTTGCTCCGTTTTATGACGGTTGTTAAGTGAATCACTGCAGTTGTTAAGTCAGTTACACAGGTTAAGTGAATCTGGCTTCTCCATTGACTTTGTCAGAAGGTCACAAAAGGGGGACGCTATAGCCGTCATCACAGGCCGCTGACGGGCCACAACAGTGACCAGGGGGAACACTGCAACGGTCGTAAGTGTGAAAAAGTCCCTTTTTTTTCAGCAATCTCGTAACTTTGGTCACTGAGTAAATTGTTGTAAGTCGAGGACTAGCTGTAACCTTGGGTGACCTTGTGCAACAGAGATTTAGATGTTAAAAAGGACGTTTGCACACTTTTAATTGCAATATTTTTTTTTTGAACGGGGAGGCCACCGAGATAGGCAGTTACAGAAAATCGAATCGATATTTAATCAAATAAATTTAATCACTTTATTTCCAAGCTGATCGCTGCCCCCCATCCCGCTCGCCAACCCACCCAACCCAAGACACACACACACCCCGCAATCACTCACATGTTAAAGAAGTTGTGATGATTGGCAAAGATAGCCCGGGGATTGACGTAGAACTGAAGCAGGGGTCCAAAAATGACCACGGACGCCAGCCACAGATGGTAAGCGCGACGGAGGCCCGGCACCCCGAGAAGCCAAGCGTACTGGTTGCTCCAGAAAACCACCAGCGCCTGGCCGAGGGCTTGGGCCCACCCCGCGCCTGTGGCCAGCAGCGAGAAGGGCCTTTTGGCGACCCGTCCTTCTGCCATCCCCTCCCCTCGGATCAGCCCACCTGAAGGAAGTCCCGGTGGCGGCGACGGTGAGGAACGAAGGAGAAAAGAGAAAAGTCGACGAGAAGGAGAGGAGAGAGGGGGGTAAAACCCATCACATTAAAAATGACACCGGGCGACAGCTGCGGGCACGTCAACCGAGCTGGGCTCGAACAGCCGATCGAAGGACAGAAGGGCATAAAGGATTAGGGGACCGGCTGTCCTTTACAGCCTTCAGAGGGTGGAAATCAAGGATCATTGGTTGGCAATGATCTCGAAGAGAAACAAACAAACAAAAAAAGATTTCGACCTAAAGTTTTGCTCTTTGGATGAACTCTTTGGGACTCGCTTATAAAAAGAAGAAAATAGCAATTTGGTCTCGCCCTTTGAGATCAGGCGTCCTTCTCAAGTTCCCTATAATTGCTTTCTTATCTCCTTCTCTCCCTCCACTCCTCTCTTTCTGTTCCCCCCCCCGACCAAATTTTAATTTATTCCCTGACAGAGATTGGAAGTTGAGACAAAATCGGGATAAAGTTGGAAGGGGCCTTGGTAGGTCATCTAGTCCAACCCCTTGCCCAAGCTTCTTCTTGCACCATATCCGTCATCGGATGTTGGAGATCCAATTTTTATCAACAGCTGCACGAAAAAAATCCATTGACGGGGTTGGACTAGATGACCTACAAGGTCCCTTCCAACTCTATTCTGATTGATTTTTGTCCAAACTAGTCCCTTAAGATTTTGAAAGCCATGATGTCCTTCTTCTGCCTGGACCTTGTTTGCCTTCAATCTTTCCCTGGAGAATTAAATGAAGGATGCCGTATTTTTTTCGGCATCTTCAATCTTGCTGCCCAAGCAGGAATCCCTATATACTTATTCCAGACAAATGGTTCTTCTTAAAAAACCTCCAGGGATAAAGCACCCCGCAACTTCTGGTGGCAAGCAGTTCCGCTGGTTAATTGTTCTCTCCGTCGGGAAATGTCTCCTAGGTTGAATCTCTCCTTGATCGGCGGAGCGGAAATGCAAACCAAAATCCAATGTCAACCACTTTTATTTTAAAGACAATTTAAGACAGCTGTTTTGCATCGCCCCTGAAACGGAGAAAGGGGGGGAAAAGACCCTCCCCTTTTCTACAAAACCTAGATTTGGAAAGGAGCCTCAACGTGGACCCCTCCCCTCTGTCCCCCCCCCCAGAAGGCAGGACCTCGAGGGAAGGATTGTGACGGGGTGGGTAGGCTCCTTCTCCAACTAGAAGAAACGAACACGGAATTTTTTTTCCTCCGGCTTTTACACGCTTAAAAATAACACGTGGCTCTTTTCGCTCGTCCCTTCCATCCATTATTTTTTTAAAAAACAACTCCTCCTCTTCGGGTACCCCAAAAGCCCCTTCTTTGCACCATGAATATTTACAGAGCAGGTGAGGACACCCCCCCCACCTGTGAGCATTTTGGAAAGAGAGCCGAGGAAGAGCCAAGTTGGGGACATCTTTTAAGGCGAAAGACGATAGCAACGCCTGTCCACCCTTTTCTCGAGAAGGGACAAGAAAGGGGTCCCTCTATTTTGGGGAGGGGGGGTTGACCGAGGGCGATGGGGCCGATGCGAAGAAGACATCCTCAACATCTGGGAGAAAGAGGAAGAGGTTGGCAGCTGGGAAGGAAGCTCCAACTGTCCCTCTGGCCACAAATCTCCAACTTTTTCGTGGCGCCAGACAAATATCCTGCAAGGACCCCCCCCTCCTCCCCAGCTTCCTGGGGGGTGGGGATGGGGGTCAGCGAGCGCTCGCCATCATCCCTCGGAGAAAAGAAGGGGGAGCCATTTCAATCAACCCCCGAGGATCTTCGGAACGCCAAGAGGGATCTTTGGGGATCTTGTCGCTTGGGATCACCTCTCCGTTGCTCAGATCCAGAGGAAAGCTGGATATAGATTTGTATTTCCCCCCCACATTCCCTGATAAAGCTCCAGACGGAGGTCGAGTCTTAAAGAGTCCCCCCAAAATTATTGTGGGTGCAGTACACCTTTTTTTTCCCGCAACGAATCTGGGCGTTGCGGAGACCATCTGCAGGGAGGAATCGGCTGGGCTGCTGTTGGGGTGATTTCCCGTCATGATTCTATATATCCCCCAAAAGTAGAAGATTTCCTTCCGAGGGCCTATTGGGCTTTCCAGCTGTAGCCCCCTCCAGATGTGAATTTCGGTGACCCCGTATTCCTGGGCTGCCGTCCCCACTCCGATCAGGATTCGTCCAACTCATCTGGAAGGATACAGAATGAGCTCAGCCTTGAGCAAGACATCCGGCGGTGTTGTTCGCCGTTTCTTTTTTTTGTCGCTATCCTTCGGATCTGACGGCGGGATGGTTATTCCGTAGCCCAAAGCCGATGACGCCGGAAGGTTTCGGTGACGGGAGACCGGTTCATTCGAGAGGGGTGGTGGGTTCGTCCGAAGCTCCTTTCCTCCCTGCCCCGGCGAACCCCACCCCCTCCTCGAAACGATTGCCAACGCAAGACGTTGTTTTCGCCCTCGCTCTCGGCCCCTGAGCACGTCCCAAACTGGAGAACGGTGGCGAAAAAGCGAGGGGGGGGGAAAGGCTACTGGTGTGGGGGGACGGCCAGCTGGGGGTGCTTTTCTCGGGGTGTTAAGAACTGCTGGGGGTCGCCGAGATCGTCTTCGTCGTACTCTGCTTGATAATCCCAGAGACACACGTTTCCATCCCACTGCAAGAGAGAGGAGGGGAGGGAGAAGAGAGGAGAGGAGAAGGGAGGAGAGAGGGAAGGGTAGAGGGAGAGAAGACAGAGAGAGGAGAGAGAGAGAGGAGAAAGAGAAAGGAAGAAAAGAGAGAGATAGTGTGTTATTGTTTCTATTCAAGGATTACAGGTAGTCCTCAACTTACAACTTTAATGGAGATTATTAGAATTGAAAGTGACCCGCTCTGTTGATCCCGTGACCCAAAGGCCAGCCATTAATAGAACCCAGCACAGGTAGTCCTCGCCTTCCGACCACCATGGCGACCCAAATTTCTATTTCTAAGTGGTTAAACTGAGTTTCGACCCATTTTAAGGCCATTCTTACCACCGTTAGCGAACCACTGCAGTTGTTAAGTTAGTACCACGGCGGTTCAGCAAATGTGACTTTGCTCGTCAGACGGTCGCGGGGGACACTGCCACCGTCATAAATATGAGTCAAGGGCCAAGGGTTTGAATTTGGATCATGGGGATGCTGCAACGGTCCTTAAGTTTGAGAGCGTTTTAAGAAACTGCATCACTGTCTGGCTTGGTGGCAGCAGTGCCTCAGATAGAAAGTCCATACAGAGAGTGGTGAGGACAGCAGAGATTATAGAAAACTCGCTTCCCCTTATTCAGGATACCGCTTATAAGCGCTTAGAGCCCGAAGCATTATCAGAGCCCCCACACACTCACTTCACTGTCTGTTTATGTTGCTCCCCTCTGGAAGGTGGTTTATAAGTATTTCTAGCAGGACTACCAGATTCTGTAACAGCTTTGTTCCCTAGGCCGTCTGGCAAACTCGCAAGATTCGTTTTTGCTCGCCATAAACATGTATACATTCGAGCTATACTGTTGTTGTTTCTCCACGTCATGTAATATATGTGGGTATATACACATAATTTCGTATTTATTTATTCATCTTGTCATGTTTGTGCAGTGCAAAATTGGGAGGTGGTGACCCTTTAAGACCTGTATGCAATGAAATTTCATTTTTAATGTATGTCAATTTGTGTACATTCAAAGCAGCAGTGAAATCCAATTTTTTTTACCACTGGCTCTGTGGGCGTGGCTTGGTGGGCATGATGTAGCTTGGTGGGCGTGGCAGGGGGGAAAGGATATTGCAAAATCTCCATTCCTACCCCACTCTGGGGCCAGCCAGAGGTGGTATTTGCCGGTTCTCTGAACTACTCAACATTGCCGCTACCGGTTCTCCAGAACCTGTCAGAACCTGCTGGATTTCACCCCTGATTCAAAGTGACAATAAAGTTATTCTATTCTATTCTATTCTATTCTATTCTATTCTATTCTATTCTATTCTATTCTATTCTATTCTATTCTATTCTATTCTATTCTATTCTATTCTATTCTATTCTATTCTATTCTATTCTATTCTATTCTAATTCTAATTCTAATTCTAATTCTAATTCTATTCTACTCTACTTTCTTCAACTTATTCTCTTCTATTCCTATTCTATTCTGTGTGAACGGTCGTAAATCACTTTTTCTCAGTGCCGTTGTAGCTTCAAACAGTCACTAAATGGTCGGTTGTAAAGTCGAAGACAGCCTCTAAAAAACTTGGGAGCCCTCTGGCTAGAAAAAGGGCACTTTTCTTAACTCCTTTGGACAGGTCAATAAAGCGAATAAGCACAACACAGCAACAACGGAGCTACTCCCCCTAAAGATGAATTCCTCCATCCCTGCCTGCCGTCGGTTCCCGAAACTTACCGAGCTACTAACAATCTTCTCCTCGTAGGGATGCCAACTCACGTCCCGCACGCAAGCTTGGTGATTGATCAGTTTCTTCACAATGAGGCCGGTTAGGAGATCGTAGACTGGGGGGGGAGGGGAGGAAGGTGGGCGAGAAGAGGGAAGACAGAGGAAGAGCATCAGTAGCCAGGTAGGTTTGATGGCGCAGCAGACTAAAGCACTGTTAAGTAACACCAGCTGCCTGCAATTACTGCAAGTTCAAATCTCCCCAGGCTCAAGGTTGACTCAGCCTTCCATCCTTCCGAGGTAGGTAAAATGAGGACCCGGTTTGTGGGGGCAATTTATTTTATTTATTTATTTTATTTATTAGATTTCTATACCGCCCTACTCCCGAAGGACTCAGGGCGGTGCACAGCCAAACAATAAAAACACATACAATACAAAATTTAAAAAATAGAATAAAATCAAATTAAATAATTTTGGCCCCGACAAATTTAAAACCCCAAACCCCAATAAGCTGACTTTGTATAAGTATACAAAAGTATGAAGGCTATTGCTTAACGCATTGTAAGCCGCCCTGAGTCTCCGGAGAAGGGCGGCATATAAATTGAACCAATAAATAAATAAATAATAAATAAAAGAGCAGGGGGGGGAAAGGAGAGAGCGTCCCTGTGCTGGAGGATTTTGGGGGGGGGGGTTTTCTGAGATTTGATTCTGGGCGTATTGGACTTCAGGCAACCCAATTAAAGAGACTGTTTTCTCCAAATGTTCCAAGCATAAATAAAATTGGATATTTCCGAGTTCTCGCTTGCTCTTTACGTCGGCATAATCCGTGGGAAAAGATTGATCGAACTCTTGACTTAAAAGAAGAAAGGAGAATTATCGAAAGAGGAAGTTTCGTGCAGCTTTTAACATTTTTTTTTAGCCTGCAGCTCCCTCCCAAGGCTTCGGACAAATTCACTTCTTTATTTATTGGGATTCTGCCTTTTATTATTTTGAAAAGTTACTCAAGGAGATGAAGGTGCGTAACACACTTTCCTCGTTGGACTTTTCCTGCAGTAACAAACCAGTGGGGTGGGGGGTAGGCTGAAAAATAAAGGGACTAGCCGAAAGTCACCCAGCCGGCTTTCATGCCTAAAGTGGGACTAGAACTCACCGGCACCTGGTGATCGGCCCAAAGTCACCCAGCTGGCTTTTGTGCCTAAGGTGGGACTACAACTCACTGGCACCTGGTGATCGGGCCAGTCACCCAGCTGGCTTCTGTGCCTAAGGTGGGACTAGAACTCACTGGCACCTGGTGATCGGGCCAAAGTCATCCAGCTGGTTTTAATGCCTAAGGTGGGACTAGAACTCACCGGCACCTGGTGATCGGGCCAAAGTCACCCAGCTGGCTTTTGTGCCTAAAGTGAGACTAGAATTCACTGGCACCTGGTGATTGGCCCAAAGTCACCCAGCCAACTTTAATGCCTAAGGTGGGACTAGAACTCACCGGCACCTGGTGATCGGCCCAAAGTCATCCAGCTGGTTTTAATGCCTAAGGTGGGACTAGAACTCACCGGCACCTGGTGATCAGCCCAAAGTCACCCAGCTGGCTTTTGTGCCTAAAGTGGGACTAGAACTCACTGGCACCTGGTGATCGGGCCAAAGTCATCCAGCTGGTTTTAATGCCTAAGGTGGGACTAGAACTCACCGGCACCTGGTGATCGGGCCAAAGTCACCCAGCTGGCTTTTGTGCCTAAAGTGAGACTAGAACTCACTGGCACCTGGTGATTAGCCCAAATTCACCCAGGCAGCTTTCATGGCTAAAGCGGGACTAGAACTCACGATCTCATGCTTTTTAGCCTGTTGCCTTAACCGGCTCTCAAATGCCATTTGACTTTTTACTTGGGAGGTCTGCGCCAGCAATCTCGGGTGGATCCCTGGATCTCTTCTCCTGCCCAATCCCACTCCAGCACTCAAGGGAATTGCTTTAGGTTTCCTCCTTGCGCTCGGAGGGCGTTCTGGTTCCCGAGCCACTTACCTACCACCCGCCCCGTGGAGCAGCCGCTGTAAATGTACTGCTGTCCCGTGCTGTGAGGAGGGGAGAAACGGCAGCGGATCAGGGTGTGCAGGACTCCGTGGCCCCGGTAGGTCATGAGAGAAGTGTCACCTGGAAGTTTTGATTTACGTCGGGCTGGGAAAGGAAAGGAAAGAAGGAAGGATTCAAGGTGTCCAACCAGAGCAACATTAAGAGCTGTGGACTTCAACTCCCAGAATTCCCCAGCCAGCCATGAGCAGCCCTGGACTAGATTCAAGTTGTCCTTTGCACACGTTGTTCTGACCCAGCTCCCCAAAAACGACAAACCCTCTGAACTGAACTCAGAGATTCCTTTAATTAGGGGCGGCGGCAGCCCCGGCAAAAAGTTTCTCTCTCACCGCAGGCTAACAAGTCCGTCTGTCTGGGAGATGAATAGTTGTCTGCCACACCTATTCATCTCCTCCCTCTGCCTTTTATCCTGAGCTATGGTGGGGCCTCGCTAGCAACAGTGGCTCTTCCGTCCCATAGATTTCCTCTGCTCTCCTCTCCTCTGCCTTTTGCGCATCCGAGCATCGGGCACTGGACCCAGCTGTACCTCCTCTTCCTCATCAGCCGCCTCCAGTCTGTTGTGGCTCCGTTACCTGAGCCTGTGTCATCGGCAGGAGAGGACTCCGAGAGTGAAGGAGAGGAGTTGGCAAGGCCTCCCTCTCCAGGACCCTCCTCTCTGGCAATGCCTTCGGTATCCGCCGAAGGGCAAGAGATAGGGCCGGGGCCAAGCACGTCCACGCAGCCACAGCTGGACAGTGATGAGGGTAATGAGTCTTGGCTGGATCCACGCCAGCGTCGCAGAGATAAGCGCCCACAACAGAAGAAAGGGCGTGCCCGAGATTAGGCTGAGTCACTGGACCACACCCCACAGGATATAAAAGGGAGCGTGGTGGCCAGTCAAACCTTGTGACGAACAAAGCTGAAAGCTTCCACGCCATTCTGCATTGCCGGACTTTTGGCTATAGACTTTGCTGGATTATCTCTGGACTTGATTGACTCTGTAATTATTGAGCTGTTTCCTTTGATGTACCAGAAGCGGGGAGAAGTTATCTCTCCTCTTCGTAAGTAATAAACTCTTGGCAGGCAGCCACTAGGTTGTTGCCAAGTTCCGTTATTATAAGGAAAAGGATTTTGCCGGCTGGTTTGGTCTTTAACTCTTGAACGTCTGTTGGTGTGTGTGCGTGTGGTTGGGGACAGAACACAAGACCTGGGGGTCTCCATCTGAGGGCTGATGGACCGTCTCTATCTCTGCCAGAGCTCTACTCCCTCTTCCCCCTCAGGTTGCCTTGCCACTGACCTTGACTCCCACACCTCATCCTCCTCTGATTTGGCTGCTGGGAGGGGCCGGTGACAGGCTATAATACATGTATACAAACCAGAGGTGGGTTTCAGCCGGTTCTGACCAGTTCTGGAGAACCGGCAGCGGAAATTTTGAGTAGTTCAGAGAACCGGTCAATACCAACCTCGGACTGGCCCCGCCCCCATCTATTCTCTGCCTCCCGAGTCCCAGCTGATCGGGTGGAAATGGGGATTTTGCGGTAACCTTCCCCTGGAGTGGGGAGGGAATGGGGATTGTACAGTCTCCTTCCCCTGCCACGCCCACCATGCCACGCCCACAGAACCGGTAGTGAAAGTTTTTGCATCCCACCACTGATGTATACCCTGCATTCAACTCCTTCTTCCCCGTTAAAAAAGGGAAGGGGGGGGGGGGTTCGTACCTTTTTTGGGTACCTGTTGCCAGCGATAATCCCAGATCTGCTGGGTGACAGCGTGCCGGGATGCTTCAAGGCCCTCCTGGCCCGAGAATTTGCGCATGTCCCACAGCTTAATGGTCTGGTCCTTGGAGTTGGAGATGAGGTATCGCGCGTCTCCCTGAGGGAAGAGACAACAGCAGCTGAGGAAACCATTTGGATGCCTCCGTCCTCAACTTCCACACAAACTTAAAAACGTCTTTAAAGGTTCCCACGTCGGGAACCTTAATTCGGAATTTTCTCGTCTTCCCGGAATGATTCATTGAATTTGGAAGGTGTCTTCCATTTATCTCCAACAGCGGTTAGGTTCCCGCTGGGAGTTTAAATTAGTTCATCCAGATTCCACGCATTTCTTTTTTTTTTTAAAGAAATGTTATTTTGTGCAGAATTTGTGACGAGTTCTTTAAAAGGGAAAGAACCCCGAGGATTTCCACTGCTCTCCTCTCCTTTGCCTTCTGCGCATCTGAGCATCGGGCACTGGACCCAGCTGTACCTCCTCCTCCTCATCAACCACCTCCAGACCTGGGGGCTGTTGACTCTCCATCTGAGGGCTGACGGACCGTCTCTATCTCTGCCAGAGCTCCACTCCCTCTTCCCCCTCGGAGCTCCGAGGATTTCCTTAAACTAGTTTTCTAGCGACTACCAGATATGGCTGCAGCTGTCCCCGAGAAAAGCTTTGTCAGGCCTGGAAGCCATCTTTTGCATTGGACCTTCAGGCCTGCCATATTTACTACTGTGGGAAACTGGGAAGGGAGGGAGTGTATGGAACATGGGTGATATGTAGTCATAACAACATTCCTTTCTCAGAGAGTCAAGGACATCTTGCCCTGCACCTGGAGGGTTGGAAATGGGAGGCATCTCTAGTTGGGACAGTGCTTGGATTGGACCATGTGATGGACATGTGGGTGTTAGGCAGGGACTTGGACTTTTCTATGGGTGGGGAAAACCTGGAAGCTTTCAGATTCGGGTTTTCCCAGAAGTGCCAATTGTCAGGTTTCGAGGTCGTCTCAAATAAATTGCATTTCAAACAAAGTCTTTGATGAAAAAAACTCCCATTTATTGAGCACGACATTCTAAATCCGACTCCATCGAAGCCAACACTGACTTCCAGACACCAAAACCCTCCCTTTCCGTTCCCCACTCCCCTGCACTCATTGGCCATCTTCCAAGCCACTCTACCCCTAATCTACTGCTCCAGCTCAAAGGAATTTCCCCCCTCCCATCCCATCTCCTAGGGGATATTATCTCCAGGGAAAATAAGTAGGTGAAAAGTCAAACGTCCCTTTCCAGACGCCTCCGCTTCTCCTTATGTCAGCACTAGAGTAAATGCAGCTTGAAGTGCTGACACCAATATGACATCGCTAACAAAATGGAACTTTGAGGAACCAAGCCTTGAAGTCTTCTTTCGTTGGGGGTGTCGCTTGGAACCCTGGCTGGGGAATTCTGGGAGTTGAACTCCACATGTCTAAAGTTGCCAAGGTTGGAGCACCCTGCTTTAGGCTAAGAGGGAGCTGGCTGGGGAATTCTGGGAGTTACAAGTCCACACAAAAAAGTTGCCAAGGTTGGACGTTTCTGCTTTAGGCTCAGCAGGAGCTGCGCTCACCTTGCTGTCGATGAAGGTGATGCCGTCCTGGTGCCCAGCCAAGATCCCCACAGGCTGGGGGTCATCCTCTCGCATGGTGCGCCGGTCCCACACTTTGCAGATGGCGTCGTCGCCTCCCGAGAAGACGATGTGGGAGCTGTTGTCGGCGAAAGCGACGGCGTTCACGTCGTCTTCGTGGGCCTCGATCTGCACGGGAAGGGAGCAAAGGAAACAGAGGTGAAGAAAGAAGGAAGGAGATTTCAGCGAGAGAGTTGAAGGTATGCGGTGTATTGCCCAGATTTGATGGGTTTACTTGGCCCGAAAAGTAGCTAAACTCTAGAGGACATATTGGGGTTCTGGAAGACCTCCTTCAACGTTGCTGGGCGCTCAACTCTGGAGCCCTCCAGTGAGGCTTCTCTTAGCCAGAAGGACAAGCTGGACCAGGGGTGTCAAACTCAATTTCATTGAGGGCCGCATCAGGGCTGTGGTTGACCTCGGAGGGGGGGAGGCGTGGTCGACTGGGTAGGTGTGGCCGACTGGGTGGGTGTGGCCATGATACCTATTGTGACCCGCCAGCGGATCTGGCAGCAGATCAGGACAGCGAGGAGGTTGGGGAGGAACATGGGCCAGTTCCTGGATGGGGAAGGCTCTGACGAGTGCTTTGCGACGGAGGCAGAGATTGGGCCAGGGCCATCTGACAGTTGTCAGACATCAGTGGGGCAGAAGAACAACTGGATCCTGTTCCCAGTCTGCACATGCACAGAGTTTCCAGACGAAGGGAACAGTTAAAGAACAAGGGTTGACTCAGGAGTAAAGCCACAGGTGGACGGTGAATGGCTCCTCCCAGAGGGAATAAAAGAGGAGCGACAGGGGAGTGGAGTTTGCAGGAGACAATTAGTTTGCTTACTTGGTTCGTGACTCTCCGAGACTCCTTGCCAAGTTTTGAAGATATCGGCCTGGCAGCTCTCCAAGCCAGATAAGGTCTGTGACTGTCAATTCTCCCTTGAAAGACGTTACTGAAGGTGGATGAGAGGAATTCACTGTTTGTTTAATAAAAGGGGTTTTGTCGGGACCAGGATTCTGCTTCGTGCTTTTTGGGGAAGCCTAGGTCAGAACAGATGGGGCTGTGTTCTGCCCCAGCTACAGATCCCAAAGAACACAGCACACACAAAGTCTGTACAAAACTTAATTTACTAAAATAACTCAGTCTTTTTCAAAACAAAGGCTGTTAATAAACTTTCTTAACTGCCTACAAGAAACCAAAGATAAAGTAATCACAATCTTACTAAGGTTGGCAGAAAGCCCAGAAGCAATTTGCAGAGAATCCAGACGCGAAGGAGAGTGAACTAAAGTTGTTCCCTACAAATTGCTTCAGTCGGTGTTCCTCCTTAAATAGGCTAGGGGAGTGGCCAATTAGCCCCAAGCTTTACTCTTGAGAAGACCTCCTCCTGAGGAGCCATTCTTGCCTTTTGGCCGCTCTGTGCGCCTGTGCATCGAGAAGAGGCTCCTCCTCTTCATCCTCTTCACTTAAGGGAGCTTCTGGAGGTCCTGAGGGCCCTGGCTGAATCCCTGCCTCTGGCACCATATCTTCTCCAGCCTCCTCATTGTCTGACTCGAGTGCCAGCTGCACAGGCTGCTGGCGCATCACCACACCAGCCTCCTCGCTGTCAGAATCAGCTACAATCCGCACAGGCTGCTGACGGGCCACAACAGGCTGGGGGATCCATTGTCTCCAGCGCACGCCCAGGGGGCAGGACATGCCGGCCCCACAGATCTAAGGCTAACTGCGTTGTGGCCTGGTCGGTCGCCGTCAAATTGTAGATCAGCGCCTGGCTAGCCTGGGTTGGGGCTGAGGCGCTGGTCCTTCGCTGTTTACAGGGCAAGATCTAATCACATTGTGGGCCAGATCCGGACTGCGGGCCTTGAGTTTGACACCCCTGTTTTACAGAATCGTTGTGAACCGATTTCCAGAGGGGTTGCGGACTGGGGACATAGGGCAGAAAACCTCCTGCAGCCAAGCTGGCTCCACACCCATTTGCATCGCTCAGGTGACGCCCCCGAGGACACAGATAAACCTCCGAGTGGCCACAATGACCCTCTAAAAGGAGGCAAACGACCAGCTGGTCTGCAAGGAGGATCAATCTTTCCGTCCCATACCATCCAGTCAGAACCGAAGAAGCTTCTCGGATGAGAAGCGAGACGTCTTCAAAGAAAAACCAGACAGTCCAGTTGCCTCTTGAAAAAAAAAAAAAAAAGCACACCTTTGGGACAAAACCATGACCTGGATGGTTGAGGGTCTCCGTAGACATCAACCCCGAGTACCTTTAGCGTCCGCTTATTCTGCTCCATGTCAAAGACGTACACACAGCCGTAGTTGGCCCTGTGGAGTGGACAGAGAATAAAAAGGTTACTGCGTGTGGGGTGACACACACACAGTGGTCACAGCGAAGGATTTCGGTAACAACCCTGCACGGGAGAAGAATAAAGGTAGCCCTTGACTGTTAGGAAATGATTATTACCTACCTTGTTGGCTTGGCAATATATAAACCCTCAATATAGCTTTAAAACTGCTGTATTGCATCACACTGTGTCCTGATTGGTTAGCTCTGTAGCCAATCTCCTTAAGAGGGAGCTAGAAACATGATTTGTTTTCTCTTTGCTGTTCTTGCTCTCTGATATCTCTGTATGCTACTGTTTGCAAATACGGAAGAACTGTTTATTGTGAATGACTACGACGACTGGTAAGAAGACTTTGTTATTGGATTATCCCTGGACTGTCGTTTTGCTATCTCCTGCTTTATATGTGTATGACCTGGACTGTTTATTGGACTGTGCCTTACTATTTCCTGAAAGTAAACACAACTCAGTGTATCTGTGTGTTGGCTGTGTTTATTCGTAACTACTCTCAATCGCTTTCATGTGCACACCTTTGCTACTCAAGGGTTACTCTGCGAATTCCTTAACATAGACTTACGACCGCAGTTGAGCCCGTAATTTCTAGAGCTAAGGCAGACAGTTGTTAAAGTGAGTTTTGCCCCTTGCCTTGCCACGGTTGTTAAGTGAATCACTGAAGTTGCTAAGTTAGTAACGTAGTTGTTTAAGTGAATCTGGCTTCTCCGTTGACTTTGCTCATCAGAAGGTTGCAAAAACATGTCCTTGGGACACAGCAACGGTCCCAAGCATGAATTTGGATCCCGTGGCCACGGGGATGGTGCCAACGGTCCCAAGGGTGAAAAAACAGGCCGTTAAGCCGCTTTTGTAGGTGCCGTTGTAACTTCGAACGGTCACTAAACGAAGGGTTGTTAAGTTGGGAGGAGCAGAAATCAAAGCGCCTTGGTAGTACAGTGGTCTAAAGCACCCTGTTATTAAGACCAGCTGCCTGCAATTACTGCAGGTTCGAATCTCGCCAGGCTCAAGGTTGACTCAGCCTTCCATCCTTTCTAAGGTAGGTAAATTGAGGACCCAGTTGTGCGGGCAATAAGCTGACTTTGTATAAATATACAAAAGAATGAAGGCTATTGCTTAGCACATTGTAAGCCACCCTGAGTCTCCGGAGAAGGGCGGCATATAAATCAAATTTAAAAAAAAAGCATTGGAACCGAGTCGCGGGTGTGTGTTTTGCCTCGGGGCTTCCAATGGGCCTTCCAAGCAAATGCCAGAAATGGGGCTTTCCCTGCCACTAAGAGCTGGCAGACAGAGGGGCATCATTTCCTAGCCTCCAAACAGGAGTGGCGGGAAAGGAAGAGAGGGAGGGAGGGAGAAAGGAAGGGAGGAGGAAGCGAGAGGGAGGGAAAGAGAGGGAGAAAGGGAGGGAGGGAGGGAGGGAGGGAGAAAGAGGGAGCAAGGGAGAGAGAAAGGGAGGGGGAGAGAGGGAGACGGATAGAAAGGGAGGGAGGGAGAGAGGAAAGAGACAGGGAGGGAGGGAGAGGGAGAGAGACAGAAAGGAGGGAGGGAGGGAGAGAAACACAGGGAAGGAGGGAAGGAGAGAGGAGAGATCGAGACAGGGAGGGAGAGAGAGACAGGGAGGGAGGGAGACAGAAAGAGAGGGAGGGAGGGAGACAGAAAGGGAGGAGGAAGCGAGAGGGAGGGAAAGAGAAAGAGAGGGAGAAAGGGAGGGAGGGAGGGAGAAAGGGAGAAAGAGGGAGCAAGGGAGAGAGAAAGGGAGGGGGAGAGAGGGAGACGGATAGAAAGGGAGGGAGGGAGAGAGGAGAGAGACAGGGAGGGAGGGAGAGGGAGAGAGACAGAAAGGGAGGGAGGGAGAGAAAGACAGGGAAGGAGGGAAGGAGAGAGGAGAGATCGAGACAGGGAGGGAGAGAGAGACAGGGAGGGAGGGAGACAGAAAGGGAGGGAGGGAGGGAGACAGAAAGGGAGGGAGGGAGAGACAACGAGGAAGAGAGGGAGGGAGAGAAAGCCAGGGAAGGAAGGAGGGAAGGAGAGAGAGAGGAGACAGACGGGGGGAAGGGAGGGAGGGAAAGACAGGGAAGGAAGGAGGGAGAGAGAGAGAGAGAGGGAGAGAGAGAAAGGAGATAGAGAGAGACAGAGGGAGGGAGGGAGGGAAGGAGAGGGAGAGAGGGAAGGAGAGAGGGAGAGAGGGGGGAGGGAGGGAGATGAGCTCGAAGACTTTGTTTCTCTCCAAAGAAAAGATTTATGCACTATGGGGGAAAAGATCATTTTCCGAACAGCCGGCTTACCCGCCGAGCACTTCTCTCCCATCCGAGGAGACCGCCAGGGAAAAGACGGCAAAACGGCGTTCATCGGGCCTGCGAAGAAGAGAAAGTCGTTATGCCAGGTGCAGGGTGTGTCTCCGTCATTTAACGGGGCCCGGGTGGAGGTGTGTGTGTGTCTCCTCTTTACCTCAAGTCCAGGGCGGTCTGGGTCTCGCTCTCCCCGTAGATGTTGCAGATGTGAACTAAAGAGAAGAAGAGAGCAAGGGCTAGTACCGACTACCCGGAGGCAACCCAGTTTTCCCCCTAAGCGCCGTAGAGACTCACTGTAGTCCGACCAGCTGGAGTAGAGGAAGTGGGTCCTGTCGGGGGTGAAGGCCACGTCCAGGACACTCCAGCCGACGTCTCGGGCTTTGACACTCCGGAAGTTCCGGAAGGCTCCGTAGGCGCAGTCGTATAAGCGGATTCGCTGGTCTGAAAGGGGGGGGGAAAGGAACATAAAAGTCTGTTCTTCTGGTGGCTTGAGGGGTTGGAAGGCTGGGCAGGAAGTTAGCAAGCCCGCGTTCGAGATCCGAGAGCTTCCGTGGGGCAGGGTTGAGTTCCCGTCTTTCGCTCCAGCTCCTGCCGGGGACAGGAAAGGAGCCCCCAATTGGGCGTTCCCCAGGACAGCGGTGATGTCACCGGCTAATCCTTTCACCCTGGAAGCGCCTTGGCGCTTCTGACTCGAGTACAGGCAGTCCTCAACTTACGACCACAATTGAGCCCAAAATTTATGTCGTTAAGTGAGTTTTGCCCCACTCGATGACTTTTCTTGCCACGTTTGTTACGTGAATCACTGCAGTTCTTAAAATAAACCAACATGGTTTGTTAAGTGAATCCGGCTTCCTCGCTGACTTGGCTTGTCAAGTCGCAAAAGGGGATCACATGATTCCTGGGACACAGCAACCGTCATAAATGTGAGTCAATTGTCAAGCGTCCGGATGTAAATCACGTGACCACCGGGATGCTACAATGGTTGTAACGGTCATAAGTCACTTTTTCCAGTGATGTTGTAACTCTGAACGGTCGCTAAATGAACTGTTGTTAAGTTGAGGACTACCTGTGCAAATAAACAGGGAACGTAACTAATGTAACTTCATCTTCACCAGTTTCCCCACAACAATTGCTCTGTGAAACGAATTGGGCTGAGAGAAGGACTTGCTGGCTTCATAATCTTGCGGCAGTCGTTAAGCACATCACGTCGTTAAATGAATCCATGGTCATTAAGCAAACACCGCGGTTGTTAGGCGAACCAACGGTCTGTCATGGGGGTGGTTTTGTCCAAAACGGGGAGAAAGTTCCATTCTTTTTGGCAAAACTTATAAACTACGGTCAAACGGGATGCCACAAACTATGTCGCAGAACGCCTAAAGTTGATGCTCCAAACGGCTGTAAGTTGAGGACTGTCAACCCTGAAGTGAAACCTGGCTGAGGCCCCCTTTTGAGGCTTCACGGTTGCCACAAAACAGAGGGGGAGAAAGGGAGGGTAGAAACGTAGATTGCTCGGCTTGGCCGTCAAAACAAAATGTTTTCTTGTGGGAACCAAGGTCATTCCAACAGGTGGCTGAGAAGAGGAGGAGCGGAGTAACCAAGCAACTTCTCGCCTGGACTACGCTAACGCTCTCTACATGAGGCTCCCCTTGAGGAGCACCCGGAGGCTCCAACTGGTCCAGAATGCGGCCGCATGGGTGATCACGGGAGCGACATGGCGCTCCCATATAACACCTCTCCTGGCACTGGCTCCCGGTGGTCTTCCGGGTGCGCTTCAAGGTGTTGGTTCTCACCTTTAAAGCGCTCCATAGCTTAGGGCCAGGGTATTTACGAGACCGCCTGCTGCTACCGATAACCTCCCACCGGCCAATACGCTCTCACAGAGAGGGCCTCCTCAGGGTGCCGTCGGTCAAGCATTGTCGGCTGCCGGCCCCCAGGGGGAGAGCCTTCTCTGTGGGAGCACCCGCCCTCTGGAACGAGCTACCTCCCGGAATACGGCTGATTCCGGATCTCCGCACTTTCCGTAAGGCCCCGAAGACGTTTTTATTTCAGCAAGCCGGCCTGGCCTGAATAGGTTTTATGGGTTAGTTTTTTAATTGTATAGGTAGGGGTTTTAAATTGGGAGGCCGATTAATTTAATTTATTTTTAATTATCTTAACTTTTATTTTGTATGTTATTTTAATTCTCGGCTGTTCACCGCCCTGAGTCCCTTCGGGGAGAAGGGCGGGATATAAATTTAATAAATAAATAAACCTGCTAACACCTTCATTGGACAATGTGACCAAGGACCTGGGGGAAAAGGGGGAACTTTTTTTTTTATTACTGTATTTTTCAGACTATAAGATGCACTTTCCCCCCCAAAAAAGTGGGTGGAAATATCGATGCACCTTATAAACCAAATAGGGCCCTGTTTTTGGCCTCCCGAAGCCCCCCGTGCGTCCCATTTTTGCCAAAAATGGGCCCATTTTTCGCAAAAACGGGATGGGTATAGGGTTTGGGAGGCCTGCAGAGTGCTCCTGGGGCTGGGGAGGGCAACAATGGGACGCATGGGGGGGGGTTCAGGAGGCCAAAAATGGGCCAGTTGTTCGCAAAAATGGGACACGCAGAGGGTTTGGGAGGCCTGCAGAGTGCTCCTGGGGGCCGGGGAGGGCAAAAACCAGACACGCGGAGGCCATAAACTTTTTTTTTTCTTGTTTTCCTCTTTGAAATCTAGGTGCATCTTATACTCCGGTACATCTTATAGTCCAAAAAATATGGATAGGTGAAAAGTACAGGAACTTTCAGAGTTGATTTTCACCAGTTGTGCCAATATGATGTATCCAATGAATTTGTTCTTTGAGGAATCTACCGGCCCCGGAGTTCTGCTTTCAACGGGTGCATTACTTGGAACGCTGAGAAGGACTACCTGTATCCTCCAGCATTCTGTTCCCATAAAGCAGGCGTGTCAAACTCAAGGTCCATGGGCCCGTGGGGTGCTTAGATCTGGCCCGTGGGGCTGCCCTGGAATCAGCCAAGGACCGTCCCTTGGTTCCTCTGCCAGCGAAAACGGAGCTTGGGAGGGCTGCTCCCTTAAAAAGCAGGAAACAAGAGTCTTGGTCCCGGCAAAATCTCTTTTATTTACCCGACTGTGAATTACGGTCATTCACAGTCAGCAAGGCCTGTCCAAACAGTCTTTCAGAGGAATACTTATCAACACAGACCTTATCTCGTTTGGCAAGCTGCCACATAACCTGTTTCCAAACGCAGCACAAGGCCAAACTTGGCACAGAGTCTCTCAGTCACAGAACGAACGAATTGTTTCCTGCAAAAGCCCCCTCCCCGTTTGCTCCTCTTTTGTTTCCTATGGGAGGGGCCAATCACCTCCAAGGTGTGGCTTTACTCCCAAGTCGACCCTGCTTTCTGAGTTGTTCTTGTCTTCTGGCAGCTCTGCGCACGCGCACACTGGGAGCGGGCTCCAGCTGTTCCTCTGCCTCACTGTTGTCTAGCTCCCTCTCTGCCTCCGACACAGAGCCTTCGTCCGAGCATTCCCCAGCCCCCAGGACTGGCCCATATTCCTCCCCAACTGTTGTGGTCCGCCAGCAGCCTGCGGAGCTGGCAGCAGAGTCGGATAGTGAGGAGGCCGGGGAGGAACATGGGCCAGTTCTGGAGTCTGGGGAAGGCTCGGACGAGGGCTCTGCATCAGAGGCAGAGATGGGGCCAGGGCCATCTGGGAGTTATGCGTGGACTCCGGAGTCTCCAGAGTCGGACATCAGAGAGGCAGAGGAACAAGAGGAGCCTGTTCCTAGTGTGCCCGTGCGCAGAGCTGCCAGAAGGCAAAAACAGTTAAAACTAAAGGGGCGACTCAGGAGTAAGGCCTGGAGATGATTGGCCCCTCCCATAAGGCTTAAAAGAGGAGCAAAGGCACGTGGGCCCTTTGCAGGAAAGCAACGTTGTTAATTCTGTTCCCAGCCGGCATCTCTGTTTTGAGTCTGGACTCCATGAGGCTTTGCCAAGTAGGTCTTTGGCAGCGTGTCAAGGGAGATAAAGGTTGGTGATTATCCCGAAGGATTTCTCCCGAAGGACTTTTTTGCAACTAATTGGGACTCAGCTGTGAATGAACGTAATTCACAGCTGTTGCAATAAAAGGGGTTTTGGGGACTACTCGTGTGTTTTAATGACTCAGGAAGCCTAGGTCACAACACCAATCTCCTCACTGGTCTGACTCTGTTGCCAACTCCACTTGCCACAGGCGGGCCACAACAGGCCCTCCTAAGGCTCACTGTCAGGTTTCGATGCTATCTCAAAATAAATGAATTTCCAAACTGCCGATCTCTGAGGAAATTTTCTCTTGATTGAGCATAGTGATCTGTCCCTGGCTCTTTCGCGGTCAGCACTGACCTTTGCCCCCCAAGCCCTCCCTTTCCGATCCCCAATTCTCTGCGTCTCATTGGCTATCTTCCAAGCCACTCTCCTCATCCCATCTCCCTCAGATCACAGGAATGTCCCCCCCTCCTCCCATCTCCGAGGGAACAGAATCTTCAAAGGAATTAAGTAGGCAAAAGTTCAAGCTTCTCCTCTCCTTTGATATGTCAGCGCTGGAACGCTGACACTCACATTTTTGCTGGTAGAGGGCTGCAGGAGACCATCGCAGCTGAAAACGGAGCCCAACCTGGGCATGGCCCCCCCGCCCCCCGAGGTCAAACACAACCCTGACGCAGCCTTCAATGAAATCAAGTTTGACACCCCTGCCGTAAAGGAAGAAGACAATCTAAAATAGGAATATTTTTTTTTTATAAAAAGAATACGTTTGGGAGCTTACCTTGACAAGCAGACATAAAAAGTTGTCCATCGCGGGAATAGATGCCACAGAAGGCTTTCTGCAAATAGGTATCCTTGACGGTCAGGTGATTGGGAAGGAAGCTGGGAAAAAAGAGCAAAACGTGAGGCATACCGATTATTCAGGTAGTCTCTCTTCTAAAAACACTTGTCTCTGATTCTTGCCTGAGAATTTACACTTACACACCCAAACACACATATACTGTATTTCTCTCTTATCAGATACTTACTGTGACACGATCTGCGAACATTCCCCAGCTGAGAAACTGCTGTTATGGCAAAGGCCTCGTTCCCTCTGCGGGAAAGGAAGAGAGTGAAGATTATATGTCTCTGGAGATTCTCAAGTCATCCACCTTGTCCCAAAGGTTCTTTTTTTTTTCCCCAAGAGGCAACTGGATTTTCTGGTTTTTCTTTGAAGATGTTTCGCTTTTCCTCCCGAGAAGCTTCTTTGGCTCTGACTGGATCCTCCCGTTCCCCCACCATCCAGTCAGAGCCGAAGAAGCTTCTCGGAGGAGAAGCGAAACGTCTTCAAAGAAAAACCAGAAAGCCCAGTTACCTCCTAAAAAGAAAGAACGAACCTTTGGGAGTGAGGATTATATTACACTTTCTCACGATCTCTTCTAGTTAGCAGGGAAACAATTCAGAAAACCAAAGTTAGGGTTAGGGTTGATTCTGCATCAGAGCTTGATGGCAGAGGCCCCTTTTTTGGGGGGGGGGGTACCAAAGTAGACTGAGGACATCAATTCTGAACTCTTTCCTCTCGTTTCTTGCCAAGATGAAAGATTCTGCCCCACGAATAAGGACGTTTAACCAGCATTGGTGTATTCTGAAGGCCCAAAGCGCCACAAAGAGCAGCCTCACAATCAGACCGAGGGAGGGAATATATTGTTCAGATCAGAGGCCCTGCTTCCCTACAAGACCAATTTTAAACGACGGCTTCCTCTTTTTGAAGCTGTTTCTATCTTGTCTATGGAGATTCTCCGTCATCCGGGTGATGGTTTTTTTTCCAAGAGGCAACTGGACTTTCTGGTTTTATTTTTGAAGACGTTTCGCTTCTCATCCAAAGAAGCTTCTTCAGCTCTGGCTGGATGGTGAGGGGAATGGAAGGATTTATACTCCTTGCAGGCAGCTGGTCATTTGCATTCTTTTAGCGCAGTGATGGCAAACCTTTTCGGTACCGAGTGGAAATGTCACGTGCGCATGTGTGCATTCGTCAGGGCTGCGCTCCGGAAAAGCCAAACTTCCGGGTTCTCGTGTGCATGCGTACCCGACTATCAGCTGGCCGGCATGTATGTGCACACCGGTTTTCGGCACTGCCACGCGCACAGACAGCTGATCGTCTCACACACACATGCACACCAGAAAACCCAGAAGACAAACAGGCAAGGCCGCGCGTGCCGGGTGACATGGCTTCGCGTACCACCTTGGGCACACATGCCATAGGTTCACCATCACAGTTTGAGCGGTCTATTGTTGTGGTCTGTCAACGGCCTGTGCAGATTGTAGCTGATTCTGACAATGAGGAGGCTGGTGTGGTGATGCGCCAGCAGCCTGTGCAGCTGGCACCCGAGTCGGACAATGAGGAGGCTGGAGAAGATGTGGTGCCAGAGGCGGGGATTCAGCCAGGGCCTTCAGAACCTCCAGAAGCTCCTATAAGTGAAGAGGAAGAAGAGGAGGAGCCTCTTCTTGATGCCCAGGTGCGCAGAGCTGCCAAAAGGCAGGAGTGGCTCCTCAGGAGGAGATCTCCTCGAGAGTAAGGCTTGGGGCTAATTGGACACTCCCTTAGCCTATTTAAGGAGGAACACCGACTGAAGCAATTTGTAGGGAACACTCCTTCACACTCCTTCACGTCGGGATTCTCTGCAAATTGCTTCTGGGCTTTCTGCCAACCTTAGTTAAGATTGTGATTACTTTATCTTTGGTTTCTTGTAGGCTGTTAAGAAAGTTTATTAACAGCTTTTGTTTGAAAATGACTGAGTTATTTTAGTAAATTAAGTTTTGTACAGACTTTGTGTGTGCTGCGTTCTTTGGAGTCCGTAGCTGGGGTAGAACAGCTATTGAGGCCACCTGGAGGTTTATCGGTGTCCTCAGGGTCACCCGAGTGGTGCAAATGGGTATGGAGCCTTCTTGGAATTGTTGAAAGGACCTGTGTTGTAGGCTGGAAATAGATGATGTCGCATCCCTCCCGCTCTGTTGAAAAAGGGATGTTCAATTTGGACTTAGATGGCCTCTTTAATCCCCTCTTCCAAATGACCAGCTGCCTGCAAGGAGTATAAATCCTTCCATTCCCCCCCCCCACTATCCAGTCAGAGCTGAAGAAGCTTCTTGGATGAAAAGAAACATGTCTAAAAAAAATAGAAAGTCCAATTGCCTCTTGAAAAAAAAAGAAAAAAAAAACAACTTTGGGGATTGTTTCCATCTTGTTGCCAACCCTGAGCATTTAAGGCAAAACGAACCCATTCATTTCCAGCATTTTAGAACAGCGAAAAAACAGGATACCTGTCCCAGGAGCTTTGGGATGTTACGGTCGGGTCGGCCTGGCCTGAGTCGGCCCGTTGCTAACTGGATGCGGGTTTTAATCTCGTTGTGCTCCAGATCCCGGGTGTCTGGTGCCAAATCCACTGCAGAAGATCGAGAGAGAGAAAGAGAAAGGGACCGTGCATAAAATAATCCTAGGCAAACTTTCGATGTTTTTTTTTTTTAAAAGGATATCTACGTAGTTTAGTTTAAGTCTGAGATTGTCTGAATGTTGGGCGTTGTGCCTGAGGTCTAATTTAAGCGCTTCGACAGAATTTTGGATCACGAACAGCCCTGACAGGCTAAAAGTCAAAGAGTTTTCAGAGCAAGGCGAGCAATTACAACATCCAGAATGCTGAGATCTAATCTGGCCTAGCGAGCTTTCCACAAATATGAAGCCTGGGCCTTGTTAACTTTTGTTCATCGCTATCATCCGTGTTAAGAAAACGACTCTGGACTCCTTGGCGATACCTGGGGGTTTGTACTGATCTCCTAAACGTCCTTCCCAAGCATTGTCAGTATCGTCGTCGGAATCCGAAACAGCCTGGAACACCCGGGCGCTGGCTGTTCCCCCTCCCTGCATGAGGTGAAACTGTCCCCTAGGGAAAAGCAGGAAGGAGACAAAGAGTAGCATTAGCAATTACGAACCCCGTTGCTTCACGAACTATTTGCCCACGTACAATAGTATAAACCTTCGAAACCACAGTTTGGGTGTAACTACAGTACATTCACGGGTACAAAAGGAACTGAGCAACATTTTTCGCTTCCTGTTTTCTTTCCTCCTCCAATAGTTTTAACTGAGCAGCCGTGGGACTGTTTCATCTGAAGCAAACGCTGTTCTGAAAGCTTCTGTTGTGGCCCGCCAGCTGCCAACGGAGCTGGCGGCAGACTCGGACGATGAGGAGGTTGGGGAAGAACTTGGGCCAGTTCTGGAGTCTGGGGAAGGCTCTGACGGATGCTCTGCTTCGGATGCAGAGATAGAGCCAGGGCCGTCCAACATTTCCCAAACACCGGAGAGGCAGCTGCCTTTGAAGGCTGAGATGAGTGAGGAGGAAGAACAGCTGGGGCCTGTTCCAGACGCACTCGGTATGTGCAGAGCAGTTAGGAGAGGAGAGCAACGGAGGACAAGGAGTCGACTCGGGAAGCAAAGCACACGTGGACGCTGGATGGCCCCTGCCTGCCTGGGGAATGAATAAAGAGAAGGAAAGGGGAGTGGTGGTCGTAGGAGACAACCGTTCGTATTTCTGAAGATTTTGCTCATTGTGTTTCGTGCCGCAAAGACTGCTTGCCAGAACTTAATTTGCAGCCTTTCGGCTCATGGCTTGGCAATTATCACAAGGAACGGATAAGGTCTGTTACTCCAGTGAACTCCTTGAAGGACTCTTGCCTGGACTTTTCGGTGGGTGGATGCCATTAATTCACAAGAAGTAAATAAAAGAGGGTGTTTTCATGACCAGGAGTCTGTTTCTTGCTTCTGCTAAGGCTGGGTCAGAAGAGCTTCAAGGAGAAGACTTAAGAGAAATGAAGCACAAATTCAGCTTTCGGAGACTGGACAGGAGTCCAATCTGGGTCGGTCACTGGGACCAGTTATAGTCTTCTGAGCTTTCGGACTCCTCCTCAGGGAACGTCTCTCTACCAGAATGTAGAGGAGTCTACATTCTAGTAGAGAGGAAGAGTTTACAAGACAGATATTATTCTCCACATGGAGTTCAGGCACTTAAAATGGAAGCTGATTTCCAACTTTCTACAAGGATATACTATAAACCCATGACTGCAAACTGGGAAAGAGGGAATTATTCTAATTTATTGAGTGCCTTGTAGGACAAACTGCTTTTGAGCCATGCTCAGAAATTTCATGCCCAGGGGATTGAACGCTCAAAAAGTTTTCTTGACAGAAAGGTAATTAATGGGGAAAGATTCTTGGATTTGCAGGACCAATCAAACTGCTTTGATTCCTGCATATCACAGGTTGAAAAGACAGGGAGGCTGGCCCGAGATCTTTTCAACTACCAAGATCATGAAAGGAACCAATTTAGGGAAGCACCAAACAATCACAAATGACCTAGGCTTCCTGATATAGTAAAAAGCACACAATTAGTCCCAAAACCCCTTTTTAAAAATTTTAACGGCTGCGAATTCCTTCCATTCACAGCACGTGCTGAATCATTTATAAATAGTCCAACAGAAGTCTGCCACAGTCCTTCGGATAAGGCTGGTAAACACCCACCTTTATCTTCTTTGACACGCTGCCAAAGGCCTAATTGGCAATTCTCTTGGCAAGGCCACACGGAAACACAGAGTCAAAAACGGAGCTTCAAAGTATAAACCAACACCATCCACGTTGCTTCCTGCAAAGGGCCACGTGCCTTTGCTCCTTTGTTAAGCCTTATGGGAGGGACCAATCATCTCCAAGCCTTACTCCTGAGTCGTCCCTTTTGTTTTAACTGTTCTTGCCTTCTGGCAGCTCTGCGCATGCGCGCACTAGGAACGGGCTCCCCCTGTTCCTCTGCCTCTCTGATGTCCGACTCTGGAGGCTCTGGAATCCGCACAAAACTCCCAGATGCCCCTGGCCCCATCTCTGCTTCCGACGCAGAGCCCTCGTCCGAGCCTTCCCCAGACTCCAGGACTGGCCCATGTTCCTCTCCAGCTTCCTCACTGTCCGACTCTGCTGCCAGCTCCACAGGCTGCTGGCGGACCACAATACTTTCTTCTTAGTCAGGCCACCCTGTCCACAAGGAATGATTATATTTCCTCTTTCATATGTACTTGATCCTTTGGTCAAATTTCTTAAGTGTAATAGTACTGACAGAATCCTACTTTATATGCTTAAAAATTTCTCCTACCCTGTGCAATGTAGCTAGAAGTGCATGCTCTATCAAAATTGAATGCAAGAGTAGATACAAAGGCACAAACAAAAATTCTTCCTTCACAAGAAATTATAGCGATGTTAAGGGATTGATGATGATTAAAGGTGCGTAGCCACTGCAAATAACAGAACCTGGCATAAAAACAATTGGCTTCTGGCGAGAGTCCAATCCAACAATTAGGAGAATTAAACCTAAGTCATGATTCTTGTGACCATCATGGATTCCTTTTATGATTTATGTGCTTTATCCTCACTCGGGTTCAGCCAAAACTAATAAATACACCCTTTAGTTCCTTGTGGAAAATATTTGATGCGGGTAATCCTTGATTTTCGACCAAAATGGAGCCCAACGTTTTTGTTGCTAAGCGAGCCAGTCGTTAACTGAGTCTTGCCCAATTTTATCACCTTTCTTGCCACCGTTGTTCAATGAATCACTGCTGAATCACCACAGGTCTCAAGTTATTAACACAATTTGTTAACTGAATCTGGCATCCCCATTGACTTTGCTTGTTAAGATGGTCGCAAAACGCGATCCCCTGACCCAGGGCACTGCGAGCGTCGTAAATAGGAGTCAGTTGCCAAGCATCTGAATTTTGATTACGTGTCCGCGGGGGAATGCTGCAACAGTCATGGGAAAAAAAATGGCCATAAGACACATTTTTCAGTGCCATGTTAACTTCTAAGTCACTAAATGAATGGTTGCAAATTGAGGACGACCCATAATGGAACCCTTAAATACACACATCCTTGCTCTCTTCCCATCTTCCCTTCTTTTGTCTTTCCTCTTTCTCCTTTCCTGTCCCTTCTTGCATGCTCAAATGCAAAAGGGAAAACATTTCTCCTTTTGTTTTGTTTTTAGTTTGTTTTGATAGCCCTCTGCCAGCCAAAACGGAGGCTGGGGGGGAATGGGCTGCACGCGCCCCCCCCCTCGCACCTTGTTTTCAGCCGTGACAACCTCCCGCAGCTCTCTTGCCAGTGAAAACGGGACATGGGCTGGTCCTTTGCTGTTACTAGGCTGGCCCCACGGGCTGGATCTAAGCACCCCGCGGGCCACATCTGGCCCGCGGCCCTTGAGTTTGACACCCCTAGTCTATGGAGATTCTCAACCATCCAGGTTATGGTTGTCCCAAAAGGCAACTGGACTTTTTGGGGTTTTTTTTTCATTAAAAACGTTTCACTTTTCATCCAAGAAGTTTCTTCAGTTGTAGGAACAGAGTCAGTTATTGTGGGCAATTGCTTTGCAAGACGCCTAAGTATCTCTTCCCAGAAGTTTTGCGCTCTTTTACTGGGTTACAATGCCCTTGCTCCACAGCCAACATGTCCAATATATTTGGAAGAATCCCAATAGGGGAATTTACAGCAAAAATATCCATGCATTTGCTGGGTATGTATAATAAGCTCAGGTGCCAGTGTGGCATCAAGGAGCTATGTGTGAAGTGCTGTAAATTCCCCCATTGTGAACGTAATGAATGCACTTCACAATGCTCAAAAGTTTCACAACTGCTCCTCTATTGTAGTATTTCTTCAACCTTGGCAACTTTGAGAGGTGTGGACTTCAACTCCCAGAATTCTCTGTCCCGCCTGAGTGGAACTTCAAAGGTGCTTTTTGTTTGTATCTTATGATTTAGGTTGTTTTTATTTCGCATTTGACGACTATCACTTTGTATCTTGTGATTTATGACGACTGTATTTTATGATTGTGATATTATCACACTTTGTTGCTTGCACGTATACTGAGAGTGTCTATGGAGATTCTCAATCATCTAGGTCATGGTTGCCCCAAAGATGCATTTTTTTCAAGAGGCAACTGGACTTTCTGGAAAGTCCAGTTGCCTCTTGAAAAATAAGCACCTTTGGTATGTACACTGAGCTTCTTCACCAGAGAAAAATTCCTTGTGTGTCCAATCACGCTTGCCCAATACAGAATACTATTCTACAAGCAGTCATCAACTTACGACCACAATTGAGCCCTCAGTTTATGTTGCTAAGTGAGGAATTTATGGAATGACTTTTTGCTCCATCTTATGACCTTTCTTGCCACTGTTGTTAAGCGAATCACTGTGATTGTTAAGCTAGTCACACAGTTGTTAAGGGAATCTGGCTTCCCCATTGAGTTTGCTTGTCAAGGAGGTCGCAAAAAGTGATCACATGACCCCGAACCATTTGCCGAATGTCTGAATGCAAATCACATGACCACGGAGATGCTGCAACGGACGTTAAGGGTGAAAAACGTCCGTAAATCCCAGTTTTCAGTGCCGTTGTAACTTCAAACGGTCACTAAACAAACTGTCGTAAGTCGAGGAGCCTCTGTACAGGTAGTCCTCGACTTACAAGTCTACTTAGTGACTGTTCACTGAAAAAAGCGACTCATGACCGTTCGTCACGATCACCGCCTGCTGCAACCATCCTCGCAGTCACGCGATTTATACCTCAGGAGGCTCGACAACCGGCTCACATGTACGACGGTTGTCGCGTCCCGGAGTCACGCCATCCCCTGGTGTCGACCTTCCGACCAAGCCAAGTCAACGAGGAAGCCAGAATCACTTAACCTACCGGGCGACTCTTTTCAACGGCTGGACTGCTGAATCCCTGATGGGATTTTTCTATGCTGTGCCATGTGGTTGTGAAGTGGCCGTTTTGTTTCCCCAATGTACAGATCTGCAGTTGGCTCATTGCATTGTACTGCATAAACCAACTGGCCTCAGGTAAAAGGTGACGGTAAAAGTTCCCCTCGCACATCTGTGCTAGTCGTTCCCGACTCTAGGGGGCGATGCTCATCTCCCGTTTCAAAGCCAAAGAAGAGCCGGCGCTGTCCGAAGACGTCTCCGTGGTCCTGCAGCCGGCATGATTCAACGCCAAAGGCGCACGAAACACTATTTACCTTCCTACCAAAGGTGGTCCCTATTTTTCTACTTGCATTTTTTTTTCTAATGGGGTTTCGAACTGCCAGGTTGGCAGGAAGCTGGGACAAGTGACGGGAGCTCACCCTGTCACGCGGCGCTAGGGATTCGAACCGCCGAACCGATCGACAAGCTCAGCGTCTTGGCCGCTGAGTCCACGTCATCCGATCAGGGCACTTCATAAAACGTGTCGCTGAAGCGCCTGGATTTTTGGTGGCTCCGTTGCGGTCGTAAGTCGAGGACTTACCTGCACCCGATTCCTTTTTTTTCCCTTTTTTTTTTTCCTCAAGTCCAGTTTCCTTTCGGGATCTTCGCCTGGGTGGGTGGGAGGGGGAAAAAAAAGGGCAGGGGGAGGTGGAGTTACCTGCGCAGTAGATATGCCAGTACCTGGGCCAGATCCACATCCTCGTCGTCCTCGTCTTCGCTGCGCAGGATGCCCGAGTCCCTCCGTGACCAGCTGCCTTGGTTCTCCCGGCCCCCCGAGCCAGCGTTGCTACTGCTGCGGGAGCCCATAGCTCAGGGCATTCTCCAGCTTGGCCCAACGCTCACACTCTGCCCCTCCTGGGGTTCAGAAAGGAAGATGGTGGTGAAAGAGGAGGAGGAAGAGAGGACACGGCGGCCTTCCTCCAAGCCTGTCATAGTCCCTTTCTTACTGAGGACTAGCGCCTTGGAGGCACCTCAGGAGCGGCCCTGTTCTGACTCCCCCCCACCACCACCACATTTGTTTCTCAATTTTAAATAAATAGGCCCATTCCTGAGGCGCCTCAGGGGCAAACTGCCCCCCTCCCTAACCTTTCACCTCAGCTCAACAGCCCCCCCCACCAATGGAAAACCAGCTTGTTAGAACGTGGTCCCCCCGTCTGAGTATAGCTTTCCGCCAATGGGAGACGTCCTCGGGCCAGGCTCCTCCAATCAGAGCGCGCCATACTAGGGGGACACTCTGGCTGCCCGGCTGCCCTTTCTTTGCCCACCAATCAGAAGGGTTCTTGGAGTTGTTTTTTTTTTTATTATTATTATTATTGCAAGGGCGTCCTCGGGCTGTTCACCCCCCTCGCCCACCCACCCTCCTCGGGGATCAGTCGGCCAATGAAATGCTTCCCGCTTTTCCTTTGGCTGTTCTTTTCTTCTGCCACCCCCCTCCTCACCCCGCGCGGCGAGCGCGAGACCCTCCTCACCCTCTTAACGGTCGGAGCGCGAGGCCTTGTTTACATCTTAGAGGGACCGCCGCTTGAACCCGAGTGGGACAGAGGCCGAGGGGGCGGGGCGAGCCGGCTGCGAAGACGATTGGCCACCGCTCGGTTCACGTGAACTCACGTCAGGCTTTAAAGGGGGGGCCTGCCCTGCTTTTGATTGGTTGCTACGATTCTACCTCGTCCCGCCCCCTCTGTAAACTAGGTGATAAGGTACAACGCGTCATCGCTTTGGGTGCAAAACATGAGCGGAAGGCGGGCGGTGGGCGGGGTAATTGATCTCGGATTGGCTTCCTTGAGTTTGACCGACAGCTTCCGTGTAAACGCTCTGGTCGGAGTGAAGATATCTTAAATAGGAGGCGGGCTTTAAGGGAACTTTCTCGCTCTTTGATTGGATAATAGCGACGCAGGTGACGTTGTGGCGGTTGTTGATAAACTCGTATCAGGGGGAAGCATACAATCATGATTAGCTGCTGACGTCTTTAAATATCTTTTGAACTGCAATAAATATTTCCCAACCTTGGCAACTTTAAGAGGGGTGGACTTCAACTCCCAGAATTCTCCATCCATCGTGAGTAGACTTCAACTCCCAGAATTCCTCAGCCAGCCATCCTTGCTGAGGAATTCTGGGAATTGAAGTCCACTCATGCTGGCTAGAGAACTCTGGGAGTTGAAGTCCACTCAAGATGGAGAATTCTGGGACTTGAAGTCCACTCATGCTGAATGGAGAATTCTGGGATTTGAAGTCCACTCATGATGGAGAATTCTGGGAGTTGAAGTCCACTCATGCTGAATGGAGAATTCTGAGAGTTGAAGTCCACTCATGCTGGATGGAGAATTCTGGGAGTTGACGTCCCCTCACGCTGAATGGAGAATTCTGGGAGTTGAAGTCCACTCATGCTGAATGGAGAATTCTGAGAGTTGAAGTCCACGCACGCTGGCTAGAGAATTCTGGGAGTTGAAGTCCCCTCACGCTGAATGGAGAATTCTGGGAGTTGAAGTCCACTCATGGAGAATTCTGGGAGTTGAAGTCCACTCATGCTGAATGAAGAATTCTGGGAGTTGAAGTCCACTCACGCTGGAGAATTCTGGGAATTGAAGTCCCCTCACGCTGAATGGAGAATTCTGGGAGTTGAAGTCCACTCATGGAGAATTCTGGGAGTTGAAGTCCATTCATGCTGAATGGAGAATTCTGGGAGTTGAAGTCCACTCATGCTGGCTAGAGAATTCTGGGAGTTGAAGTCCACTCATGTTGAATGGAGAATTCTGGGAGTTGAAGTCCACTCATGATGGAGAATTCTGGGAGTTGAAGTCCACTCATGCTGAATGGAGAATTCTGGGAGTTGAAGTTCGCGCACGCTGGATGGAGAATTCTGGGAGTTGAAGTCCACTCATGAGGGAGAATTCTGGGAGTTGAAGTCCACTCATGCTGGCTAGAGAATTCTGGGAGTTGGAGACTTTGCAAATTATGTTCAACAGATTATATTCTCAGTGTGCCCAGAGAGAGAGATATCTGCCTCTATTTAGGATTGAACTCACAGCCTCCTGATTTTGAGGTGAGAGAGTTCCACCTCTAGGCCACCGCACCACATAAAAGACTATCACATGATCCCGGGATATTGCAACCGTCAAAAATGCAGGACAGTTGCGAAGTATCCAATTTTTTTTATCACGGCACCATAGGGATCTTGCAATGGTCGTAAGTGTGAAAAAAAAGGCCATGAGATACTTTTTTCAGTGCCGTCGTAACTTCGGTTAGTAAACTACGATAAATCTTCCACTTACAACATTTCATTTAGTGACTGTTCCAAGTTACGATGGCACTGAAAAAAGTGACTTGGGACTGTTTCTCACACATCAACATTTGGACGCTTTATAAATATGGACCAGTTGCCAATCTTCTGAATTTTGATCATGGGGGACGCTTAACAACGGTCATAAGTCACTGTTTTCAATGTCGTCGTAACTTTGAACAGTCACTAAATGAACTGTTGAAAGTCAAGGACTACCTTGTAATAAAGAGAAGTAACGGGTGCAGATTTTCCAGCCCCTGACCTAGTACAGCTGCACCATTAGAGTTTGGACTTTAGGATTTAGGGGTGCTTTGGAGGAGCGGTGCGGTGGCCTAGAGGTGGAGCTCTCGCCTCACAAGCAGGATGCTGTGAGTTCGATCCTAGGTAGAGACAGATACTTCTCTCTCTGGGCACTATGAGGATATATCTGCTGAACAAAACTCCAGATTAGCAACAGGAAAGGCAACCGGCCACTAAAACACTCTGCTTGCTCCATTCAGTTGCCCAGTCTCCACCCCACAAGGGATTATGGAGTCATTAAAAGAAGATGATTAGGAGGTGCTTCGGGGCAGCCCTTTGAAGGACACGATGGGTGCAGCATTGGGGAACACCTATTTCAGGTGCAACTGAAATAATGCGGATTTCCCTTCTATTTTCTCCCTCTTTTTAATTTCCAAAGTGACCTTACGAATGGCTACATCACAATTCTTTTGTTTTGCGTGTTCTCACGAGCGTCTTCACAACACTCTTTTCCAGTGGTGAAATCTGAACCGGTTTACTACCGGTTCGCTGGCCACGCATGCGCCAAACATGCACTGCACACGTGTACCAAAAGGAGGCTTGGGAAGGTAAGTAGAACAGGTGTCTGTGTGATCAGCTGTGGCGCGCGTGGGAACCTTTTTAAAAACTTTTTAAAAGCATTTTTGACTACGGGCTCAGGCGAATAGGTAGTAAAAAAATGCTTTAAAAAGTAAAAAAGAAAAGGTTCCGACGATCGCGTGGCAAAGCTGGGATCGTCGGAGCCTTTTTTTTTTACTTTTTTAAAGCATTTTTTTACTACCTATTCGCCCGAGCAGGAAGTAAAAAATGCTTTTAAAAGGTTAAAAAAAAGGCTCTGACAATAACAGCTATGCCGCGCAATCATCAGAACCTTTTCTTTTTACCTTTTAAAAGCATTTTTTAACTATCTAATCGCCCGAACCGGTACTAAAAAAATGCTTAAAAAGTAAAAAAAACACAGTTGAGGGTGCATTTTTTTACTACCTATTCGCCTGAGCAGGAAGTCAAAAATCCTTTTAAAAGGTTAAAAAATAGGCGCTGACAATCACAGCTGAACGACGCGCAATCGTCTGATTTTTTGGGGGGGGGGTTTACTTTTTAACGCATTTTTAACTACCGGTTCCAGAGAACCGGTAGTAAAAAATGCTTTAAAAGTTTTTTTAAAAAAGTTCTGACAATTGTGCATTGCTCAGCTGACCGTTGGAACTTTTTTTTTTTTTTACATTTTTTTACTACCAGTTCAGCGAATTGGTAGCATTTTTTACTGCCAGTTCGGCGAACCGGTAGCATTTTTTACTACCAGTTCAGCAAACCGGTAGCATTTCACCCCTGTTCTTTTTCCCTAAAGTCTGCAAGGAAGCCAGCAGCCAAACCAGTTTCAGTTTAAAGGCTGTGAATCTAGATCAAGATCAAAGGAGGTACTAACACCACTCTATAAAGCCTTAGTAAGACCACACCTAGAATCCTGCATCCAATTTTGGTCACCACACTATAAAAAAGATGTTGAGACTCTAGAAAAAGTGCAGAGGAGAACAACCAGGATGATGAGGAGACTGGATGCTAAAATATACGAAGAACGGTTGCAGGAACTGGGCCTGGCTAGTCTAGTGAAGAGAAGGAACGGGGAGACAGGATAGCCGTCTTCCAATATTTGAGGGGCTGCCACATAGAGGAAGGGGTCCATCTATTCTCCAAAGCACCCGAAGGCCAGACAAGGAATCATGGATGGAAACTGACCAAGGAAAGATTCAACCTGGAAATAAGGAGAAATTTTCTGATAATGAGAACAACCAACCCATGGAACAGAAGTTGCCTTCAGAAGTTGTGGGCGCTTCATCACTGGAGGCCTTCAAGAAGAGACTGGACTGCCGTCTGTCAAAAATGGTGTAGGATCTCCTGCTTTGGCGGGGTGGGGTTGGACTAGATGACCTACAAGGTCCCTTCCAACTCTATTCATCTGTAATCTATTGAGACCCCAAACACCGATCGCATTCTTTCCCAGCTCTGCAGGACACACGACACAAAAACAGACCGACACATATACAGCCTTCTTCTCCAACTCGGCAAATCACGCATACACATCCCACACAATGTTTATACCATCAACAAACTTCTCAGCGACAACCAGCTAGTCAGGAATTCTGGAAGTTGAAGTCCACACGTCTATCAGCGCAAGTGTTTATTTCTGCTCCAGTTTGTACAGCTCCCTTGCGGACACTCACAAGTACTCACAAATCGCACCGCTGACTTGGAATAACGCTTAAAAAAAAAAACCAAACGACCACCAATTATTATTCTTATTTGTGTTTATTATTAATAAAATACGGGGGTTCTTTTTTTTTTCTGTTTCAGAATCCTCCCTGCCACGCGCACCAATTAAATTTTAGTCAATCATGTAACTTTTTCTAGTTTTTTTTTTTTTTTTAATTTTTGCAGATGTCGTTTTGTTTCTGGTCCCACAACTCTACCCAAAAAATGTTGAGCAGTTTTATTTTTCTTGGCCTTTTCTTGTCTCTTCCGCAGCGTGTCCTTCTCACAACGGTAAAATCCAGCACATTATTGGCAATTTTAAAAAAAAGACAAGGCATATATAAACCCGTTATATAGAATCTAGATGTACGAGGAATGTAGACAAATAAGAGGAAATTGACTTTCACATTGAGCACCGATTAAAAATTCCGCTTAATAACTACTAAAATTCACAGCTGATTAAGTGTAACAGGCCCGTTTTAGCATGATAGGAGCTAATTATAATGTAATTTATTCCCCTCACTGGATTTAACAAATTCATTCGGCTAAAAAGTGGATTCTTCATTAGTTGTTGCTCACATTGTCATGAAAACATTTAAACTAGTATCTTTCAAACATGGACACTTTTAAGATTTCTGGACTTCAACTCTCAGAATTCTGGCTGGGGAATTCTGGGAGTCGAAGTCCACACGTTGTCAGATTTCGAGGTCGTCTCAAATAAATTGCATTTCAAACAAAGTCTTTGATGAAAAAAACTCCCATTTATTAAGCACAACATTCTAAATCCGACTCCAACGTAGCCAACACTGACTTCCAGACGCAAAACCTTCCCTTTCCGTTCCCCACTCCCCTGCGCTCATTGGCCATCTTCCAAGTCACTCTACCCCTAATCTACTGCTCCAGCTGAAAGGAATTTCCCCCCTCCCATCCCATCTCCTAGGGGATATTATCTCCAGGGAAAATAAGTAGGTGAAAAGTCAAACGTCCCTTTCCAGATGCCTCCACTTCTTCTTATTGAAGTGCTGACACACGTCTTAAAAGCGACCATGTTTGAGAAATTCTGATCTAAAACAACGATTCCCATGATTTCCATAGCAATGCGAATTAAAAAGGCACCGACCACCCCCTCACCCGGATCCACATCCAACCCAAGGCCACTATCTTATTTCGACCCTGCAAAGTAGCCTTTTGCCCGAAGGCCAGATTTGATGAATGGATGAATGGTTAAACATTTCGACCACTTTATTCCTCGCTCCTCAAGCCGACGTGAATTTCGCTCGTTTGAAAGGTTGAAAAATGATTCGTCTTTTTATGATACTTGGTCCACTTCGCAGGATTCGGTTAGCGAGTCATGTCATTTCTCTAGATTTTTTTGGTCTTTGGGCTCACTACTTCTTCCTGTCGACCATCTTTATCAGTCTGATAAAAATCAAAACTCGTGCCCCTCGCGTGTTAAAACACCGACAAAGTTTCTAACCTTAAGGTGTTGGATAACCATTTGTCTGAAGTGGTGTAGGGAGAACAATTAACCCGTGGAACTGCTTGCCACCAGAAGTTGTGGCTGCTGCTCCAACAGAGAGGTTTTTAAGAAGAGATTGGACAACCGTTTGTCTGAAATGGTAAAGGATTTCCCGCTTTGGGCAAGGGGATTGGACTAGATGACCTTCTAAAGCCCCTCGCAACTCGGATATTTTGTGCTATGTTTCAATGGAACTGTTATCCTAATCACGGTAGGCCTGAGAAGGTCTCATGGAAAACTCTTGTTTCTGCCTCCAGAAATATAAGCGTTGGAGATAAATCTTGCAACTACCTTCCACGTTCGTTTTAAATGTCTTTTCCCGTCCCCCTCTCCCAATCTTTCCTTCTTCCCTCTCTCTCAATGATTTTTCCAAATTAAAAAAAAATAATAATGAAAAAGACAGCTGGCCAAAGACCAATCCCTCTCCGGAGCAGCTACTGAGAAGATGCACGGAGGAGAATCAACCTCTCAGAAGGCACACGTGAACTCATAAAATGAAAGGCCAACCCCCCCTTCTCGTTTCCCCAGAGCTGAAAGCAGTGGTGGGGATTCAGCCGGTTCGCACCGGTTTGGTAGAACCGGTAGCTAACTTTTTGCACAGTTCGGCGAACCGGCTGAATAGCGTGCCTCACCACGCCTGGCCCCTCCCCTCCCAGCCACTCCTCGCCTCACCACCCACCTGCTCGCCCGGCTGGGCAGCAGGGTGAGTAGCAGGGTGTGACAAGGAGTGGCTGGGAGGGGAGGGGCAAAGCAGGGCCAGGCGCGGCGAGGGGAGGCTGGGCGAGGTGAGGTGCCCCTCGACGTGAGTGATGTCGAGTTGGCCACGCCCACCCAGTCACATGATCACCCAGCCACGCCTACCTAGCTGGTCATTAGGGCAGAGAACTGGTTGTTAAATTATCTGAATCCCACCACCGGCTGAAAGAATGACCGCCACGGAGGAAGGAAGCGAAACAAGAGGCATCAAGCAAGGTGACTCCATCCAAGGAAAGTACGCAAAGCCGAGGAAGAAGGTTGGGTGGCCATCATCTGACCTTGGAAACGCGATATGGGACACCTGAGACGAGAGAGTCTTAGCTGATAAGAAAAAGAGGAATGGATATTTCTGTAAACAAAGGCCCTGATATCTCGTCTTCCCGCTCCGAAAACCAGGGGAAGAAACTTTGGTCTTTGGTTGGACGTCTTCTACGGTTGAGGTCCCTCACATCTTCTTCACCCGGGTCTCCAAGGCTTCCAGTTCTTTCAAGACTTCTTTGGGCAAGTCCTCAGGCACTTGTTCCGTCAGATATTGTCTCACTTCTCGGACCTCTTGTTCCCAGAATTCCTTGGGCAGCGAGAAGAGCTCCGAATGGCTCACCTGGCTTAGGCCGGAGAGATTTAAGGCGCCTTCTTTGGGGACGTATCCGATGGGGGTTTCCTTCGCGCATTCTTCTCCGTCTACCCGGCGGAAGATCCAATCCAGGACCCGAGAATTCTCCCCGAAACCTGGCCACAAGAAATTCCCGGCGCTATCTTTCCGGAACCAATTGACGTGGAAAATTTTGGGGAGGCGGACGCCCTTCCGCCCTTCCATGCTCAACCAGTGCTCCAGGTAGCGGCCGAAGTTGTAGCCGAAGAACGGACGCATGGCGAAGGGGTCGTGCATGATGACCTTGCCTGGGGAATCGCAGGGAGAGAAGAGGGAAGAGGAAAGGAAGGACAGAGGTGAACAATGACAGCCCCCAAGCACAGAAAATTAAGCCTGTTTAAGCAAAATGGTGGTTAAGTGAATCGTAAGCCATTTTATGACATTCTTCTTTTTGTTTTTGCCATGGTTGTTAAGGAAATCCCTGCGGATTAGCACTGATGATGTTCCCTAGCTGGGTCATGAAACGTCTGCAAGAAAACCACCAAGCTCAGAGAGCACCAAGGGCCCCACGGTCCTCCTCCTCCTCCTCCTCCTCCTCCTTCTCCTCCATTTTCTCCTCCTTCTCCATCCCTCTTCCCCCTCCTCTTTCTTCTCCATCCCCCCCCTCCTCCATCTTCTCCTCCTTCTGCATCTCCATCCCTTCCTCTCCTCCTCCAACCCTACTCCCTTCTAGCACTGATGATGTTACCTAGTTAGGTCATGAAACGTCTGCCAGAAAACCACCAAGTTCAGAGAGCACCAGTCCTCCTTCTCCATCCCTTCCTCTTCTCTTTTTCCTTCTCCTCCTCCCCTCCTCCCCCATCTTCTCCTCCTTCTCCATCCCTCTTCCTCCTTTCTTCTCCATCCCTTCCCCTCCTCCTCCTTCTCCTTCTCCATCCCTTCCCCTCCTCCTCCTCCATCTCCTCCTCCTTCTCCATCCCTCTTCCTCCTCCTCTTTCTTCTCCATCCCTTTCCCTCCTCCTCCTCCATTTTCTCCTCCTCCTCCATCCCTTCCTCTTCTCCTCTTTCTTCCCCATCCTCCTCCTCCAACCCCCCCCTCCCTTCTAACACTGATGATGTGATCTAGTTGGGTCATGAAACGTCGGCGAGAAAAGGCAACCAAGCCCCCAAAAGAGTACCAAGGGCCCCTCATCCCTGCGGTTGTTAAGGGAGTCACGTGGCTCTTACGCGAATCCGGTTCCCCCCTCCCTCCCCATTTGCTTGCCAGAAGCCAGCTGGGAAAGTTTGCAAAGGGTGATCACGTGACCTCTGACATTGCGACTATCGTAATAGACTTTTCGTCAGCAAATCACTTTTTTCAGCGCCATTCGACCATCGAACGGTCACTAAACGAATGGCTCTAAGTCGAGGACTCCCTGTAGGTATGTTTCCAGCCCACACACACATACAAACACATGCATAGACCTCTCATTTAAAAGGTGAGGTCCTGGCTAGAATGCTGAAGCTTCTGGGCTTATCTTCCTTCTGATGGATATGAATCAATGAATATATATTTTTTCATCGTTATTGGATTCACTTGTTCTGTCCCTTTTTCTCTCTTCCGACGTAAGTAAGAGGGAACCCCCCCCTCCTCCACCCGATCTCGAACCCAGAGCCCTACCTTTGTGCTCAGCCGCCGCCGTGGACTCCGACCGCATGGCGCTGCCCACGAAGACTCCGTGGCGCCAGTTGAAGGCCTCGTACACCAATGGTACCCCTGGGAATGGGGGGAAAAGACACCAAGAGGTGATCTCGAGAAACACTGGACCGGTTTAGAGGTCTGGGAAGACAATCGGGCGGGGAGAGGGGGCAGAGCTCTTACCTACTGGTCTCCTGCCCCCAAAGATGATGGCGTCGATGGGGACCCCCTGAGGCGATTCCCAATCCGGATCCATGATGGGACACTGTCGAGCCGGGGCACAAAAGCGAGAATTCGGATGAGCGGCTGGTTGTGGGTCCCCTGGGGGGGGGGGAAAAAAATGAGAGAAACACGGAAGAATTGAGATGACCAGACAATAATCAACCATAGAGGATTGGATTCAAACTTGATCTTCAAGATAATTCCCCTAATAATTTGATATAACAAGATAATTTTGCCCTAACGGAAAATCAGAATTCATTTGCCTGCTCTTCTAATGTTAGCCTTGTGCTGTTAAGATTCGTCTCATTCTGTTGGTCATTATTTCTACCTCTCTCTCTGTTTTTTTTTATTAGGTAACAATAACAGAGTTGGAAGGGACCTTGGAGGTCATTTAGTCCAACCCTCTCCTCATGCAGGAGACAGGGTGATTATTAAAGAGACAGGGCATTTTTCTTCCCACCTATGAGACCACCCTCAAATCTTAGGAAAAGAGGGGGTCCAATATTCCTATCTGGATGCACAATTTTGAAAATTCAACCTCCTTCTTTGAAACGTTAGCTTCCCAGCTTCGATACCTTCTATCAGCTTACGGTTAAACTCAACGGCATCCGAAAGTTGCCTCAAACATCCCATAATAGTGCTTGAGGGATGGGGACCAGGACATCGATTAGTTTAACTGAGTATTTGTCAAACTTGGGCGACTTTTAAGATGCGTGGACTTCAACTCCCAGAATTCTTCAGCCAGCATGCTTTAAGATGTGTGGACTTCAACTCCCAGAATTCCTCAGCCAGTGTGCTTTAAGATTCCTGGATTTCAACTCCCAGAATTCCTCAGCCAGTGTGCTTTAAGATTCCTGGATTTCAACTCCCAGAATTCCTCAGCCAGCGTGCTTTAAGATGCCTGGACTTCAATTCCCAGAATTCCTCAGATGTGTGGACTTCAACTCCCAGAATTCCTCAGCCAGAGTGCTTTAAGATGCCTGGACTTCAACTCCCAGAATGCCTCAGCCAGAGTGCTTTAAGATGCCCGGACTTCAACTCCCAGAATTCCTCAGATGTGTGGACTTCAACTCCCAGAATTCCTCAGCCAGAGTGCTTTAAGATGCCCGGACTTCAACTCCCAGAATGCCTCAGCCAGAGTGCTTTAAGATGCCCGGACTTCAACTCCCAGAATTCCTCAGCCAGTGTGCTTTAAGATTCCTGGATTTCAACTCCCAGAATTCCCCAGCCAGCATGCTTTAAGATGCATGACTTCAATTCGCAGAATTCCTCAGCCAGCATGCTTTAAGATGCCTGGACTTCAATTCCCAGAATTCCTCAGATGTGTGGACTTCAACTCCCAGAATTCCTCAGCCAGAGTGCTTTAAGATGCCTGGACTTCAACTCCCAGATGCCTCAGCCAGAGTGCTTTAAGATGCGTAGATTTCAACTCCCAGAATTCCTCAGCCAGAGTGCTTTAAGATGCCTGGACTTCAATTCCCAGAATGCCTCAGCCAGCATGCTTTAAGATGCATGGACTTCAACTCCCAGAATTCCTCAGCCAGAGTGCTTTAAGATGCATGGACTTCAACTCCCAGAACTCCTCAACCAGCGTGCTTTAAGATGCGTAGACTTCAACTCCCAGAATTCCTCAGCTAGCATGCTTTAAGATGCGTAGACTTCAACTCCCAGAATTCCCTAGCCAGCCAGCATGATTTAAAATACTTGGACTTCAACTCCCAGGTATGTGTAAATAATATGAAATAATGAAAATGAAATGTACTAACTGTGAGTAACAATATTATGTTTATTTGTATTGAAATATATGATACCCAGGTATCACACCATTCACACATCGATATGTATAAATAACACAAAATAAAAAATATTGACTAAAAAAAATCCTCCCAGAATTCCTCAGACACCATGATTTAAGATGTGTGGACTTCAACTCCCAGAATTCCTCAGCCAATATGACTTAAAACACCTGGACTTCAACTCCCAGAAGTCCTCAGCCAGCCACACTGGCTGAGGGAATTCTGGGAGTTGAAGTCCACGCATTTTGCGATTGATTTGAACACTGTTTCTTGCCTCTGAGCTCGTGCTCCTAACGGGCGCACAAGTCAGTCGGTCCCTGACTTTGCACCCAACAGCTGATCTCACCTGGCTTCCAAGGTTTTCCTTGCCAGGTGCTGATGGTGACCCCTTCCGGAATCCTCTGATCGATGCCCTCCCAGTAGACGCCGCCTTCGCTGGTCTCGGCCACATTGGTGAAGATGGTGTTACGCTGGATGGTATGCATGGCGTTGGGGTTGGTCCGAGTGGACGTGCCCGGGGCCACCCCGAAGAAGCCGTTCTCGGGGTTGATGGCACGCAGGCAACCTACAGGTGGGGAAAAAAAACCCAGCAGATGGTTATTCCCCACCGCGACGGTCTCCGGATCTCCTTCCCCCCAACACCGTAAACTCGAACACAAATCTTGGGGTACCTGACAGTGGTGGGTTTCACTTACCTTTGCTACCGGTTCGCATGCGCAGAGCGAATTTGATGACGTCCGGGCTGGAGGGAGGAGACTCCTGCCGCAACTATTACCGGTTCCCCCGAACCGGGGCGAACCGGTAGCAACCCACCACTGGTACCTGGGGGCTAAATTTGTGTCCTGAAAGCCCCTGGAGGGTTGGAGACTCCGTTTATGTTGTTCCCAGACGAGGCAGCTTTGGCCCAAATCAGTTCTGTTTGCCGTCTTGCCGCTTCGCTTAGTGACGGAAGTACTACTGCGGTCGTAAGTCGAGGACGACCTGCTTTTCCCCTTACACCGCACCTCCCTGCCGCCATCTCAGCCCCAGCACCCGCCGAGTCACCTTCGCTGTCGAACTTCATCCACGCGATATCGTCCCCGACGCATTCCACGCGCCAGCCTGGCAAGGTAGGATTCATCATGGCTAAGTTGGTCTTTCCGCAGGCGCTCGGGAAGGCGGCCGCCACGTATTTCTTCTTGCCCTCCGGGTTGGTGAGTCCCAGAATCTGCAAGAAAATCGTAGAGGGGAGCGTGCCCGCAATTTGGCAGACGCCACGCTTAAGAGACCAAAACTCATCTTCGCGATAAACTAAAGGCGTAGATTACAAAAATCTTGGTAACCATCATAGTTTAAAAGATTCTACATCTCTCCTGTGGAGTCTCCCAGTTTCCCAATCCAAAAATTTTAACTCCGTATTTTTCAACCTTGACAAATTTAAGATACAGTAGTGGCCAAAATTGTGGAAACCCTTTTGGGAAAAGTGTATTTTTGAGGTTGGGTGGTAATAACACCACTTTTTTGGGGGGGGGGGGGAGTTTCAAGATAATCCTATTCCACTGCTGGAATGTAAGTCTTCAACTTACAACAGTTCACTTAGTGACTTAGGCACAGACACAAGCGACTTATGACCGCTTTTCGCACTTAAGACCGTCGCAGCATTCCCTACGGTCGTGTGATTTACATTCGAATGCTTGACAAGCGACTCACATTTATGACGGTCACAGTGACACCCCCCCCTTTTGCGACCTTCCGACCGGCCAAGTCAACGGGGAAAGCCGGATTCACTTAACAACCGTGTAACTCATTTAAGAACCGCAGTGACTCACTTAACAAACGCGACCGAGAAAGACGTAAAAAAAGAGGACAAAACTCACTTAACAAATGCCTCGCTTAGCAACATAAAGGTTGGGCTCCTAAATTGTGGTCCTAAGTCGAGGACTGCCTGCATTGTTTAAGTGGGTAAAGTGAAGTGGGTAAAGCAGTTTTCTTGAAGCGTGGCCATTTTAAAAGACATGGACTTCAACTCCCAGAATTCCCCCTGCCGACATAGGGAGAAGAACATAGCTGGCTGGGGAATTCTGGGAGTTGAAGTCTGCATCAACGGTGGGATTCAAATAATTTAACAACCGGTTCTCTGCCCAGTTAATGACTGCCTGGGTGGGCGTGGCCATGGTGGGCGTGGCCAGGGGTGTGTGACAGGCAGCACTCAGCCTTCTGCACCCCCTGGGAGCAAAACGGGCCATGGGGGGGGGCACCGGATCCCCGGTGCCCCGTTTTGGGCCTAGTAAGCCTCCCTGCAGCCGCCTGGGAGCGAAAATGGGGCGCTGGGGGTGGGGCACACTCCCCCCCCGCACCCCGTTTTGGGCCTAAACAGGATACGTTGGGAATCCTGCAAGGATCGGGGCGGGGAAGGGCGGAGCTAGCCAGCAATTTAACAATCGGTTCGCTTGAACCAGCCCGAACCGGCTGAATCCCACCTTGCTTAAGTGGCCAAGCAAGAAAAATGCTGATTTTTAATACAGATTTTAAGAAGAGTTTTACCCTGCTTTTTCACATTTACCTCGATGAGAAGGAAATTATAAGGCAATGCCATACGGTTCATTTCCCTTGGAGAATTTGCGTTCAATTCAGACGTTGACCTGTTTGTTTCTCTTCGATTCCAGCCTTTTCAATCTTAAATTAATCTTTTACTCCCTGCCTGACTAAAATGTGGACGTTCACAGTCATTGCTTTTACCGTTCATGGACATATTCAAGTTTGTTTTTTGGAACGGGGGATCGGTGGGAAAATGCTTTCACCGTTGCACATTTAAAAACACGCAAAACAAATTTATATTCCAGTTCCGTGCTCGCTTGTGTACGACACACACACTTTAAGGAAAAAAAACCCTTCGAGACTTCACAACTGACCCTGTTGTCAAAATTAAAATTATTTTTTTTTAATAGAAGTAATTTTATTCTGAAAGTTAATCTGGATCGTTATTGATTTTCCCCCTGGGATATCATATAAGCAACCTCCTGGTCAAAAAAAAAAATCAGAATTAATTCATTAATTCATGAATGCAAACCTAATTTACCAAGGCCAGCTCTGAATCCTGGCACATGTACAGCGAATTCTACCCCAATATCTCCCCCCTCATTCCTACGGCCTTTGCACTCCCATAGGTCTTTCCTGAAGCTGGGGTCCTGTTGCAGGCGGGACTACGACTCCCATCCTCCCCCATCGTCATGCTGGCTGGGCACAATGGGCCTTGCAGTCCTGCCCACTGAGATGGCTGCCCAGTCGGCTGGAAACCTGTTTTTTCCAAACCAGCAATTCCTGCCCGCCCCCTCCCACAACCCCGGCTGTCTCTTTCCTACGTCAAATGTCTCCCGATCCGGTTGGGATAACAGCCGGCGTCTGTCACTCATTAACCAATTAATGTTTGCTCGTTAAATATCACTCCCAGGCAATGCAAACAGCATCTGTCCTTTGGCCTGGGGCCTGATGGACCAAATTTTCTGCGCCCCCCTCCCCACCCCCCATCACTGGCTCGATCCCAGCAATCGACCCTTGGCCCCCATGGGGTAACTGTTTGCAGCCGGTCCCAAAAACTCCACGGTCCTACTTTGCAATCTTCCATGCCTGGCACGACGGCGGCACACGGGCTGCACGCTTGACTTCCTTGGTGGTTAGGTGGCTTTGACGGGCAGATCGGAACAAGTAAACCAGTAGATCCCAATAGAGCTTTTTTCCCAAAGGCAACTGGGTTTGCTTTGGTTTTTTTTTTCCTTGAAGAGGTTTCGCTTCCCATCCGAGAAGCTTCTTCGGTTTCTTCAGTTCAAGTTCTCCTTCAGCAGAACTGAAGAAAGCTTCTCAGGTGAGAAGCAAAACCTCTTCAAGGAAAAAAAAGCCAAAGTAAGTCCAGTTGCTGCTGGGGGAAAAAGCTCTATTGGGACAACCTTGACCTGGATGACAGAGAATCTCCATGGCCCAGTAGATCAGTCACTAATTGAGGGAAAGAGTACCCCTGAGCACGTGCAGAAAGTGCAAAGGGCGACTGACTTCTCACTCCAAGCCGTAGATGAGAACGAAAACAAAGAAGAGTTGGCCGCTTTGGAGTACAGGTAGTCCCTGATTTACAATCCCTCGTTTAGTGACCGTTCAAAGTTACAACGGCGTTGAAAAAAAGAGACCGACGACCGTTTTTCCACACTTATGACCGTTGCAGTATCCCCGCGGTCACATGGTCAAAATTCAGAAGCTTGGCAACTGGCTCACATTTATGACAGTTTCAGCGTCCCGGGGGCACATTATCTCCTTTTGCGACCTTCTGAGAAGCAAAGTTGATGGGGTTTAAGCCCGATGCGCTTAACAACCGTGTTGCTAATTTAGCAACTGCCGTGATTTGCTTAACAACGGCGATAAGAAACATCGTGGGGCAGAACTCACTTAACCCGTCTGTCTCCGCAATGGAAATTGGGGTCGTAAGTCGAGGACTGCCTATAAAATCTTTGCCTCAGACTAATGTTGATATTCAGCCGGTTCGGACCGGTTCAGTCCGAACCGGTTCGGGGCTGCGGGTGGGCCAGCCCCATTCATCCGCCCTGGTGCTATGCCATCATATTTAGCCACGTTTTCTAAGCGTGCTCACATTTTCAATGTGCAGCGAACCGGTGGTAAAATTATCTGAAACCCGGAGAGTTTACGGAGACAGGGGGGGGAGAAAATCAAGATGGCCGCCAAAGCCACGCCATCGAAGTCACCCTTTTCCGCTTTCAGAAGCCGCAATTCTGCAAGCGGCTCGGATCGCGGGGTCTGCCCCCCCTTGCCATGCAGACCCCGCCCTTCAATCTCACGGCCCACTCCTCCCCTCACCAGCATGTGCTCGGCCAGCCAGCCTTCGTCCTTGGCGATGCAAGAAGCGATACGGAGGGCAAAGCATTTCTTCCCCAGCAAGGAATTGCCGCCGTAGCCGCTGCCGAAAGACACGATTTCTCGGCGGTTCGGCACATGGGCGATTAAGGTCTTCTCCGGATTGCAAGGCCAGTTGTTCACGAGGTCTTCTGCAGAAGGAGAAGAAGACAACAGTTAGGGACTGGACGATGTCAGGATTTTAACACAAAGGGCCTTCTACCGTGATTCCCCGAAAATAAGACCCAACCGGAAAATTAAGTCCTAGCATGATTTTTCAGGATGCTTGTAATATAATCCCTATCCAAAAAATAAGCCCTAGTTAAGATCGTCAGCAGACGGAGGTGTTTAATACTGTATTTCCCCCCCCCAAAATAAGACCTAACCGGAAAATAAGCCCTAATGCATTTTTTGGAGCAAAAATTAATATTTTATTTTGGGGGAAACACAGTAGCATGTTTGAAACACCAGCAGACTAAGGACATGTGCTGGAGCCGGATGCAGGGAATTCTGGGAGCTGAAGTCCCAAACCTCTGGAATAATGTCCTCCAGCTTTGCACATCTGGAAATTATGGGCATCAATAGCCTGAATTCTTAGTAAAGTAATTCAGAAAATTGGAAACAGTCTGCCTAGCCTATTGTTTCCCAATCAACTTTAAGATGTGTGGACTTCAATTCCCAGAATTCATAAACCAGCATGCTTTAATATACATGGACTTCAACTCCCAGAATTCCTCAGCCAGCATGCTTTAAGGTGGATGGACTTCAACTCCCAGAATTCCTCAGCCAACATGCTTTAAGGTGGATGGACTTCAACTCCCAGAATTCCTCAGCCAACATGCTTTAAAATGGATGGCCTTCAACTCCCAGAATTCCCCAGCCAGTATGCTTTAAGATGCATGGATCCAACTCCCAGAATTCCTCAGCCAGCATGCTTTAAAATGGATGGCCTTCAACTCCCAGAATTCCTCAGCCAGCATGCTTTAAATGGATGTCCTTCAACTCCCAGAATTCTTCAGCCAGCATGCTTTATGATGGATGAACTTCAACTCCCAGAATTCCCCAGCCAGTATGCTTTAAGATGCATGGACTCCAACTCCCAGAATTCCTCAGCCAGCATGCTTTATGATAGGTGGACTTCAACTCCCAGAATTCCTCAGCCAGCATGCTTTAAGATGCATGGACTTCAACTCCCAGAATTCCTCAACCAACATGCTTTAAGATGCATGGCCTTCAACTCCCAGAATTCCTCAGCCAGCATGCTTTAAAATGGATGGCCTTCAACTCCCAGAATTCCTCAGCCAGCATGCTTTAAAATGGATGTCCTTCAACTCCCAGAATTCTTCAGCCAGCATGCTTTATGATGGATGAACTTCAACTCCCAGAATTCCCAGCCAGTATGCTTTAAGATGGATGGCCTTCAACTCCCAGAATTTCTCAGCCAGCATGCTTTATGATAGGTGGCCTTCAACTCCCAGAATTCCTCAGCCAGCATGCTTTATGATAGGTGGCCTTCAACTCCCAGAATTCCTCAGCCAGCAAGCTTTAAGATGGATGGCCTTCAACTCCCAGAATTCCTCAGTTAGCATGCTTTAAGATGGATGGCCTTCAAGTCCCAGAATTCCTCAGCCAGCCTGCTTTAAAATGGATGGCCTTCAACTCCCAGAATTCCTCAGCCAGCATGCTTTATGCTAGGTGGACTTCAACTCCTAGACTCCTGGGTGAGGTATTCTGGGAGTTGAAGTCCACACATCTTAATGCAGACAAGATTGAGAAACACTGTCCTATCCATTTAGACTAGAGGGTGCCAAATTCAGACAAATTATTATTCTTTTTTCCCTTTCACACAACCGCATTTCTAGTGTTAACCCGAACTTCATTCATCACATCTTCACATGTCTCTCATCGCACGAACAGAGAATTAATGAAACCCCGAGAAAGAGGGGCTTCCTTTGCCCGGGGGAGGAGTGAGGCGCCTTACCGCTAAGGGGCAAAGGCCGCCCCACCGAATGCAGGCACTTGACGAACTCGCCATCCCCGAGCGTGCGGAGGGCCGCCGCGCCCATCCGCGTCATGATTCGCATGCTGGCGACCACGTAGGCCGAATCCGTCAGCTGGATCCCGATTTTAGACAGGGGCGAACCGAGGGGGCCCATGCTGTAGGGGATGACGTACATGGTGCGCCCTGCGAGAGGAGACGGACCAGAGGGAGGAAGAGAAATTGAGCAAATAATTAAAAAAAAACCCACTTATATAACAATATAAGAAGTGCTGCGGTGGCCTAGAGGTGGAGTTCTCGCCTCAGAATCAGGAGACTGTGAATTCGATCCTCGGTAGAGGCTATTATTTCTCTCTCTCGGCACAATGAGAATATATCTGCTGAATATAACTCAGCATTGGTAACAGGAAAGGCATCCGGCCAGTAAACACTCAGTTGCTCAAGACTCCACCCCGCAAGGGATTACGAGGTCATTAAACGACAAACTTGGAACAATAACATTTGCTTATCTAGGTGGGTTTCAGTGTCTTTTGATTAAATATACAGGCGGTCCTCGACTTACGACCACAACTGAGCTGAACATTTCTGTTGCCAAGCGAGACCTTGATAAAGTGCGTTTTGTCCCGCAGGATGATGTTTCCTGCCACCGATGTTAAGCGAATCCCTGCCGTTGTCAAGTTGGCAACCCGGTTGTTAAGCGAATCCGGCTTCCCCTTGGACTTTGCTCGTCACAAAAGGGGACGCAAAAGGGGATCAACATGACCCCGGGACTCTGCGACCGTCATAAATATGAGTCGTTGCCAAAAGCCTCTGAATTTTGATCACGTGACCATGGGGGATGCGGCGACGGTCGTGAGCGTGAAAAACACATCAGCCGCTTTTTTCAGTGCCGTTGTAACTTCGGTCACTAAATGAACGGTCGTAAGTCAAGGATTGCCTGTAATGTCACACTGCGCCTTCTCTGTTGAATTACAATTTCTGGGTGGCTCCCACCCTGGCGATATTCAGAAAGTCATTGATATCCTGAAAACTCGACATACGACCATAATGGAGTCTCCATATTCCAGTCGTATATCGAAACAATCGTACATGGGTCGATCAGAGCTTGTTTTCTGGACCTGTAAGGCATCGATATACAAACATCATGAAGCCTATCCCTGACAGTCATATGACGTAACGGTCGTAAAATGGGTTGGTCACGTACAGATAGTCCTCGACATATGACTGTGTAGATGCTACAGATAAATGGGGGCCATGTTGCTGGGCGCCTTAAGTTCGGTCACGTTTACCTCCGAGGAGGTTCGACCTTCAGAATTTTAAATCCGAGTTTGAATGGTCACTAAGTGACTGGTCGTAAACTAAGGACTCCCGTGTTTGAGGTTATTCCTTTGTTTCTTTAACTCTTGGTCTTTTTAAAACATAAGAACAATGGGAAGATGGGCTGCCTCTGGTAAAGGATTCTTCAAACTCTTGGCAAGTTTAAGACAGGTGGACTTCAACTCCCAGAATTCCCCTCCTCTTCCCCCCTTCCCCTCCTCCTTCTCGTCTTTTTCCCTCACTCCTCCTCACCTTCTTCTCCTCTCTTCTTCTTTCTCTTCCCTTCTTCCCCTTCCTCCTCTTCCCTTCCTCCCCCTCTTCCTCTTCCTCGCCTTCTCTTTCCTCCCTTCCTGTTCTGTTCCTCTTCTCCTCCTCCTCCCCTCCTCCTCTTCTCCTCTCTTCTTCCTCTCCCTCCCTCCCCTCCTCTTCCTCGCCTTCTCTCCTCCTCTTCCTCCTCTTTCTCCTCCTTTCTCTCCTCTTCCTTCCTCCCCTCTTCCTCTTCTCGCCTTCTTTCCTTCTCCTCTTCCATCTCCCCTCCTGTTCCTCTTCCTCTTCCTCATCTCCCCTCTCCTCTTCCTCCTCCTCTCTTCTTCCTCTTCCCTTCCTCCCCTCCTCTTCCTCGCCTTCTCTCTCCTCTTCCTCCTCTTCCTCTCTCTCTTTCTCTTCCTCTTCCCATCCTCCCCCTCTTCCTCTTCCTCCTTCTCTTCCTTTCCTCTTCCATCTCCCCTCCTGTTCCTCTTCCCTTCTCTCATCCTCCCCTTCCCTCCCTCCCCTCCTCTTCCTCGCCTTCTCTCCTCCTCTTCCTTCTCTTCCATCTCCCTCTTCTTCCTCTTCCCTCCCTCCCCTCCTCTTTCTCTCCTTCTCTTCTCTTCTTCCTCCTCTTCCCTCCCTCCCTCCTCCTCCTCTTCCTTCTCCTTTTTTCTTCCTCTCCTCTTCTTCTTCCCTCCCTCCCCTCCTCTTCCTCGCCTTCTCTCCTCCTCCTCTTCCTCCTCTTCCATCTCCCTCCTCCTTCTCTTCCTCTTCCCTCCCTCTCCCTCCTCTTCCTCCTCCTTTCTTCTTCCTCTCTTCTTCTTCCCTCCCTCCCCTCCTCTTCCTCACCTTCTCTCCTCCTCTTCCTCCTCTTCCATCTCCTTCCTCCTCTCTTTCCTCTTCCCTCCCTCCCCTCCTCCTCTTCCTCCTCCTTTCTTCTTCCTCTCTTCTTCTTCTCTCCCTCCCCTCCTCTTCCTTGCCTTCTCTTCTCCTCCTCTTCCATCTCCCTCCTCCTCTTCTTCCTCTTCCCTCCTCTTCTTCCTCCTTTCTTCTTCCTCTCTTCTTCCCTCCATCCTCCTCCTCTCCTCCTCCCGTTCTCTTCTCCCTCTCCCTCTTCTTCCTCCTTCTAACCCCTCCTCCTCCTCCTCTTCTTTCTCCTCCTCCTCCTCCTCCCCCTCCCCTAGAATTCCAGCTCCCAAGATTCCACGGCTGCCTGGAGAACTCTGGGATTTGGAGTCCACTCATCTTAAAACTTGGCGGTGTTTCAAAAACACAGCTCTTAAAAACCAGTATCAGCAGACGAACCCAAAGCATCAAAAAATAAAAACAGTTTAGCCAGGATGGATAAACGGATTCCGTTCTCCGGAAGAGCAAGTCTCCGGAAGAGGCATTTGAACTGGCGGGGAGGCCGTATCCATCCGGAAACTGGGACGAACGGCAGGACAGGAATTGCCGCCAGGATTCAAATTCTTTTCCCCTCGTTTATCCTTGGCTCGACCTCAAAAAAGCTGGAACCCCATTTGTAACTCGTCTTATATTTTAAAAATGGGACCCCTTCCCCGTCCCGTTCACCTTTCATGCAACCCGGGAACCGATCGTCCACCGCCTCTTGAAAGGTTTTGGGGTTCATCCAGTTGCCCAGCTGACCCTTGACCCCCGGGGCCGTGACGGGAATCGTGTCCCTCTGGTTCTCCGTGACGATGACCGTCCGGCTCTCTACCCTAGCCACATCTTTGGGGTCGGTTTTCGCCAGCCAGCTGCGGAAGGAAGTGTGGCAATCCAGATGTGCAGGACTCCCAAGTCCCCATCGTCGGACGGGAACTGGCATTCCCCTACCCCACCCACCCCACCTCGCAAGAGAGAAACAGCCGGACGGGCTTACCAGTTCTCGTATTTCGTCAACGGTTTGATGACGCCTTCCGATTCTAGGAAATTCAAGATTTTGGTGTTCTCTTTCTCCGTCCCGTCGCAAATGTGGAGGCTGTCCGGTTGGCAGAGTCGCACCCCTTGCTCGACGAACTCCTGAGCCCGGCCGGAGAGTTTGGCCAAGTCGCCGTGGAGCACGCGGGGCGCGTGGGCCCAACGCACTGGCACCGCAGACCATCTCCGAAGCGAGAAGGCTCCACGGCTGGAAAAGAGGATTAGATTATTAGATGAACAGAGTTGGAAGGGACCTTGTAGTCATCTAGTCCAACCTCACTGCTGCCCAAGCAGGAGACCCTACACCCGTGATGGCGAACCTATGGCACGCGTGCCACAGGTGGCAGGCAGAGCCATATCTGTGGGCACGCGAGCGTTGGCCTAGCTCAGCTCCAGCGCATATGCGTGAGCTGGCCAGCTAATTTTCAGGCCTTCCGGGCCAACCGGAAGTCAGGAAACGGGCCATTTCCCGCCTCCAGAGGGCCTCCGGGGGTGTGGGGAAGGCTGTTTTTGCCCTCCCCAGGCGCCAAGGAAGCCTCTGTAGCCTGAGGAGGGCGAAAAACGGGCCTACTGGGCCCACTGATAACATTTTTGCCATCGTGTGCCAAAAGCGTGGGAAGTGTGAGAGGGGGGGTTGTGCGCGCATACGCAGGGTGCGGAGGGGCATTGAATTATGGGTGTGGGCATGCACGCGCACCCCCCCCGCTCCCGGCACGTGACAGCAAAAAGGTTAGCCATTACCACCCTACACCATTTCTGACAAATGACAGTCCAATCTCTTCTTGAAAGCCTCCGGTGATGAAGCTCCCACAACTTCCGAGAGTTAGAAGAAGGAAAGAGGCCTCAACCTGTCATTCCCCCTCAAATACAGGCAGTCCTCGACTTACGACATTTCATTTAGTGACCATTTGAAATGACGACGGTGCTGGGAAAAAAGGGACGTGACTGTTTTTCACACGTACGACCACGATCCCCGTGGATCAAAATTCAGACGCTTGCCAACGGACTCATACTTATAACGGTTGCAGTGTCCCGAGCTCACTAAATCCCCTTTGGCAAACTTCTGACAAGCAAAATCGAGGGGGAAGCGAGATTCATTTAACCACCATGTGACTAACTTAACAACGGCAGGGGTTCAACTTAACAACCGTGGCGAGGTCGTAAAATGAGGCAAAACTCACTGGAACAAATATTTCACTCAGCGAGAGCAACTTTGGGTTCAATTGCGGTCGTTAAGTCGAGCACTATCTGTAATAAGTCTCTGTGTGTGTGTGTGTGTGACGATCTGGCAGAAACAAGATGGACAGCTAGTCCTCGACTTACGGCCATCTTAGTGAACGTTCAGTCACAACGGCACTGAAAAAAAATCGAACGAGGACCCTTTTTCACACCGTCGCTGCCTCCCCTCAGCCACACGATCAAAATTCAGATTTGCTTGGAAACTGGCATGTACCTATGACTGTTGCGGCATCCGGAGGGAGGTGTCACACATTCCCACTTTTGCGACAACCTGGCCAGCCACTTCAACGAGGAAGCCAGATTCTTTTCACAACCGTGCGACACAATTAACAACGGCGGCGAGAAATGTCGTGCGACACGGCCCAAGATTCACGTAACCACATTTTCACTTAGCGACGGGAATGTGCGCCTCAAGGGTGGTCGTAAATCGAGGACGAGGATTTCTTGAACCGAACAACCACAGCGTACCCCCAACTCTCCAAAAGTCCGAGCTTCTGTGGCGAGATTTCACTTGTGTAAATCTTTCCCAATTTGTGTGTAAATCTTTCTCAATTTTGCACCGGCTCGGAAAGGCCCGTGTGTGTGTGTGTGTGTGAACTTTGCACGCGCTCAGAGAGTGAAGCAACCTCTTTGAAACGCTTGTGTGTACAAACCCATCCCGGAGGCTGCAAAAGGCCACGTAGGATTAAAAAAACAGCATGCTTCGGTAAACAGACTCCGATTCCATTTTAAATCTCTTTTAAATAAACGAGATTGAACCGAAGGCAGCCAGCCAAGGGCAGCGCAAGGGATAGCGGCCATATTTGCAAATATCCAATTTAGAAATCATTTTTCTTCACGCGTGTTCTTCTTACTCCCTGTACGTGTAAGATAGGAACACGCACAGTCTTTGAATGGTCTAATTTTACTGAATAAGGAACATTCTTTCATCAGAAAGACACACTGTTGCAGCGTTTAGCGACTTTAAGATGCGTGGACTTCAATTCCCAGAATTCCCCCAGCCAGCTGTGAATTCTGGGAGTTGAAGTCCATGTATAATAAAGCATGCTGGCTGAGGAATTCTGGGAGTTGAAGTCTGCCCATCTTAAAGCATGCTGGCTGGGGAATTCTGGGAGTTGAAGTGCATCCATCTTAAAGCTTGCTGGCTGGGGAATTCTGGGAGTTGAACTCCATCCATTTTAAAGCATGCTGGCTGGGGAATTCTGGGAGCTGAACTCCTTCCATCTAAACATGCTGGCTGGGGAATTCTGGGAGTTGAAGTCCACCCATCTTAAAGCATGCTGGCTGGGGAATTCTGGGAGCTGAACTCCTTCCATCTTAAAACATGCTGGCTGGGGAATTCTGGGAGTTGAAGTCCACCCATCTTAAAGCATGCTGGCTGGGGAATTCTGGGAGCTGAACTCCTTCCATCTTAAAACATGCTGGCTGAGGAATTCTGGGAGTTGAAGTCCGCCCATCTTAAACTTCCCACGGTTGAAAAATCACTGCACTATCGTGTTCACAAATGCCAGCTTTGCACATCCAAGCGAGTTGGCTTCAAACCCCACTCTTACAAGCTGATCGGTCCCACGCAAAAAGCACGATCCCGCATTCTGCACACGCTCTATAAATGCACAGGCATGTTTAAGCGTGGCCCGCGTAGCACTCACTCACTCATGGGCCGCTTCCCATCACGAGCAAGCCGAAACACGGGATGGGGGTGGGGGAATAACACCTGAGAAAACTGGAGGTTGGAACAAGTTAAAAGTATCACCCTAATTAAATTCGCACAACCAGAGATTTAATCTGTCTCCGGGGAGGCTTTAAGGAAGAGGGGAAAGTTTGCGATAAACGTTTGGCAGATATTTCCCACAACTTGCACAATTCTCACACTGTGTGTGTGTGTGTGTGTGTGTGTGCAGGGAAGGAATCACCACTTGCCTTTTGACAAGTGGTTCAGCAAGTCCTTCATTAGTGTTAGGGGGTAGGTATTTTGTATGCAAACGGAGTTCATTCCCCTAAAATCGACACATAATCTCAGGGTACCATCTTTTTTTTTCTTCAACAATACTGGGGTGGCCAATATTGTCTTGGGTTTGAAGACGAATCCGACCGAGGAACACAAATGACGCACGTTACCACAAAACACCACAACGCCAAACTTGCAGTGCCGCCAGGCTTGTTCCCACACCCGCTTCTCAAGGCTGCTCACAAATCTGGGCTGCTTTTCCCCGGTCGTCCTCGATTTACGACCACAATTCCGCCCCCCTCAAAAAATCTTGGTTGGCTGAGGGAAACAATCAAGTGAATTTTGGCCCCGTCCCCAATTTATGCCTTTTCGTGCGGCGGTTGGGAATGGAATCACTCCCGTCGTTAAGTGAGGAACAGGGCCGTGAAATGAATCTGGCTTCCCCACGTTGACTTTCCTCGTCATCAAAAGGGGATCGCGGGATTCCCCTCGCCTCACCCCGGGGACCCCGCGGCCGTCGTAAAGACGAGTCGGTTGCCAAACGTTCGAATCTGGATCACGTGATTGCAGGGGAATGGTGCAACGGGCGTTAAGTGTGAAAAAAGGTCCCAAGTCAGTTTTTTCGGTGGTGGTGTAACTTCGAACGAACTGTTGTAAGTTGAGGACTGCCCGTTTTTTTAAATTTAAATTTTTAATCTTATTTTCTGTTGTCCAATTAGAGAAACTCCAGACCCTTTGAGACCCCTCCCCAATGCAAGCTCCCTCCCTTCGGACACACGTGTGAACACACGTGTGCAAAATCCCACGCTATTGTTAAACCCCAGCTGCTCCATTGAACTCCAGGTAGTCCTCGACTTTGCTTAGCGACCGTTCAAAGTTACAACAGCACCGAGGAAAGGGACTTGTGACCGTTTTTCACACTTAACAACCATTGCAGCCCCCCCACCCGTCAGGTGATCAAAATTCAGACGCTTGGCTACCGACTCGTATTTATGACGGTCACAGAGTCCCACGGTCAGGTGATCTCCTTTTGCGACCTTCTGACAAGCGACGTCAATGAGGGAAGCCGGATTCGATTAACGGCCGGGCAACTCACTTAACACGTGCAGTGGTTCACTTAACAACCATGGCAAGAAAGGCTGCAAAATGGGGTAAAACCCACTTAACGACCATCTCACTTAGCAACAGAAATTCGGGGCTCAATTTGTCACGAAAGGAAAGCCACTGGGAAAGTCTGATTCGCTTAACAACCGTTTGACTCCCTTGAACACTGCAGTGACTCACTTAATAACCGTGGCAGGAAAGGCTGCAAAATGGGCTAAAACCCACTTAACGACCATCTCACTTAACAACAGAAATGTGGGGCTCAGTTGAGATCACCTTCTCACTAGCAAAATCAGTGGGAAAGCCCAATTCGCTTAACAACCGCGCGACTCGCTTAACAACCGGGGTGATTCACAGAACAACGGTGCCAAGCAAAAGGGGCAAAACTCACTTATCCGGTGGCCCTCTTTGCCACAGGAATGTTGGGCACCCTTGTAGTCGTAACTCGAGGACCACCTGAGCCGTGACATTCGTTTCCTGCCCTCCAGGATCTTTGGGGCGCGGGGAGGGGGGAAGGCGGTCGAGGGAGAAAAATCCCCGCCCCAGAACTGCTGGAACCGGTCCTGCTTGCAAACCGCTCCTCGAACCCAGGATCCAGGGTTAAAAAGGAGCGGTTGGCATCCTTCCAGCCTCTGCTCAGGTTTGGCAAGGGGCCAAGAAACCGAGTCCGGAGCAAGGGGCAAACGGCGTAGGGTGGACTTTCACCCCGCCCCCCTGCCCTCCCGCCCCGGGAACCTGGCTGATTCTTGAGATCCAGGAACCTGTTGTTCCCGGTTTAACCAGAATTCCCGGGCACCCCCCTCATCACCTTTGCACACACCCCCCCCTTCTCCTCCATTGCTGAAGAGATGCCACTTTGTGAAAAAGGAAGCTGGCATCTCGCCACCCCTGGCAATCACGCACAACGCTGAAGGGAG